GCTGCTTCCCGTATTTAATTATGATTTAATGGTGATTTAATAATTAATAAAACTTTAGGTGATTCCTTATCGAGTACTACTTGGCGGGTCCGTGCATTTCTTGATATAAATTTGGTACAAAACCAGTACCAGTTTTCTATAGAAAGCATATTAACAATAACTTGTCAAAAATAATCACGGTAAAAGCCTAATAACAAACATACAGTATTAGAATACTATGAGCACGTGCAAAGTAAGTACTTTGGAATTCCTGGCACGGACATGCCAAGTAGTACTCGATAAGGAATCACCTACAGTTTTATTAATTATTAAATCACCATTAAATCGTAATTAAACACGGGAAGCAGTAGTAACATAGAAGAGTAGCGAAAACGTTATAGGAAATATTGAAAATATAATTAAAATGATGGGCCAGTGCTAGATCATATAATAGGAAAACATGTAGTGACTTATGTACTTGGCCTCAATAATATGATATCAATACTTTTTGTTAGAGGAATTCACAGCAATCCTGTACTTGGCGTTGTTTTTTACACGTAAGTGTTTTTTGGGGGATAAGCAATACAGAAAAGACATAGTATAGTGATAATTAAAAGAAAATATTAAATAGATTATTATCATTATTATTATCATTATCAGTGAATAACAGTTATAATTAGTATAAACACGAGAGTATTTATTTGTCCTTGCCCCAATTAACGTAAGAATTAATCGATATGGGAAAAAAATCAATTTTCAAAAACTGACTGGTAACGTATGAAGTTTCGTGATTTATATATATACATATATACATAAATAATTAATTTATTTAATGAAAATTAAAATCCTACCTATCACTGCATCTTAATGTTGTATGACTCGGACTCCTCGGTGGTGGTAGTTGAGAATTATTACTTCCGGCGACGGCAAGTTGACCCTCGCCAATGGATTGTGGCTGACCTCCATGAGAAGTTACGACACCTTGTAAGGGTGTGCTCGGCGCAGAGCGTGCACCTATGGACCCCGCAGACCTGAGATATAAAAAAAGCACATCAAAATTTACGTCTCGTTTCGCCGTGTGAATATGAAGTTATTAATTTTGAAAGATACTGTACGAGAGAAAATTTACGTATTTTCGGGTGGCTTTAGAAATTTTTCAGGACAGCCATTAGCGTACAGGGTATTTCGACGAAAGAAGGTAAAGCTCTGATTCTATGTATACCTGGCCCTTCTAACAGGAACAGTTGGGAAGCAGAGATCGATCAAAGCTCGAGTTTCCAATTCCATTATGTGCTGTCGGCTCTGCGCGAAGCAGCTAGGACCTTGCAATGATGCGCGGTTGATTTTTTTTTTTCCAAAATGAAAAAGCTTCAACGAACTATTGATAACGGTTAATAACAATTGTCGAGAGCTGATAAATATTTTATAACAATTTTGCCAACGCCAGATTCTGCTTCCGAAATGAACTCCTGCCACTTTTTTTTTTTCAAATATCTTCTCCTTTGGGTTCAGCATTGGAGTCTTATGCACGTTATGCACTGTTATCGTGGTTAAGTCGACGAAGTCTTATCGAAAGATGAATTGATCCAAATTTTCAACAGACCCCCGAGAGACGTTACAGACGGTTTCAATCGAAATAAAAAATATGTATAAAGAGAAAATTTTTCGATAATTTTTTTTTTTCAAATATGACAATTAATTTTTCTTCTCATTTTGACATTAAAAAAACATTATTAATGACCGTAGAATTTTATCCATAATATATATATATATAATATTCGACAGGTTTAATTAATGACCAATTTACCGGAAAATGTATACGGGTATGTGCACACGTGAAAAATAATAAAAGATTTGACACATAAAACTCATTAAGGAATGTCGAACCGAGATAACAATATTTTTCAACAAGACGCCGTTTTGTCGAACTAATAAAAACCGCGTTGATAACGCTTTTTGAGAACAACGTCTTTCGCGTCACGCCATTTTGTTCCCAACGTCTTGATCGCCAAGCGAAATACGAAAATTAAGCTCATCTTTGAAGATCGAGCCTTGTGGATCTACGGATGGCTCGGAGGGATCGAGAAGCCACCCGGAACACGACTGACGACCGACGTCCGACGACTGACGACGCCAGTAACGGAGTCGTAGAAAACCATAAGGTACGACCTTCGAACTACCTGAATATTTAACCACCCTATATTACCTATTATATATATATCTGCCTATATAAGCGTCCTATGTATAAAGTCTGATAGAATTCTAGAATCCTACAGTCTTACCTTCATGAAACAGAATGGACAACGAACACGGGAAAGTTCTAGAAGCAAATAATACATGAAGACAAATTGTCGATATACGTATATATATGATGAGTAATTGTCATTAGCCAAAATTGGGTAAGGATGACCCACGGTACCAACCGAGGGTTAATAATGATGATAAAATGGGAATTCGTTATTATGAGAATAATAATAATAATTAATAATATATTAGGAATGTTCGATTCGTATCCGTCTAATTACGTAAGCGATGGTAAATCACCTGTTTAAACTTTCGAGCGATGATATCGAAAGTCGGTATAGAAAAGATACTTTCGGATTAATTAATTCGAATGATTGTCTCGTATATTCCATCATTTTTATCGATCAGTGAGTAATAACCCGGATCGATTAACTTCCTCATACTTCGTGTCATAATAAATAAAAGAAAATTTCCGGTGAGACGTACCACTATCTTACATCACGTGGCGATCAGGGCCGTATTACGAGAAGGTTGTGAAAGTACGTCAAACTGTTAAGTTTTGCATTTTTCATCAAATACCACAGTTTATACGTACGAACGAAGTTTACCCGTGCAATTTTTCTCGAGAATAATCGAGAAAGCTAAAAAAATACTGCCTTGCAAAAATTAAGCACGTGTAGACATGTGTCATGTAAAACTGCCCGAAACAAATGATAATGAACAATCAGAGAAAAGCCGAAATAAAATGTCAATGGTAAACAGAAAATTTGTACGAAAGACTCACTGTGCATCAAGTCCCAACAAAATGACGCACCGTGCCAGACGAAAATCCCTTGTATCGATAAAGATCTTGCGAACACAGGAGCGTACCTATCGAGGGTACCCGAGTGGGGCATTGTGAGTCAGAAATTTTTTGAAACTCGCTATCAGCTATAGCACATGCATCCCTATATGTAGACAACAAGACAGATTAAACATTGAACAGAATATCCATTGACAACGTTGGTCGTTATCACTACTGATAACTATGACTATTACTAGGATATACAACTTATTCAAGAAAGTTAGACTGTGACAAGTGACAAATATTTAATAGAAAAAATTAATTTATTAATATTTTTAATTAAAATATATCACTGTCTGACAAATCAACGTCATTTTCCTCATACGTATACGCGATCCTGAAAAGGAAAGTGCAAAAACAAAAATAGAAGTAATAAAAGTCATAATAGATCATGTCGAATAATTCCTAGAAAAAGAACCAAATTATCACCTCAGAGATAAGAAAATTATTGATCGCACAAGAGAACAGAAAATTTCCGCGATAATAATTATATTTCGACGGTAACATAAATTTCTATGAGTATCCTCGACACAAAGTAGCGATTGATCGAAAATAATCATAACAATAAATAATCTTTCATTTAACAACTGATAACCAGAGTCGTGCATCTTGTGAATTCTCAGTCGTAAACTCGATCTAACAAAAACATAGCCTTACACTGACGTACAGAACCGGAGTGAAATGTTTTGTCGATAAAAAACCGGTTTACGTATAACAAGACGTCATATTTTTTATTTGCTAATCTTCAAGTGAATTTTTATCTCAATTTATCCCAAAACACATTTATTATTTTCGACCATTTTTGTATCTGACTTTTAACCTAAACACAATGTCGGATCATTTAAATTTTTATTTTTATTCCCCCCCCCCCCTCTCGCCCCGTTGTTACCATATAACTCTTGCGTGATATAACTTTATGTATATATATATTTCACTGACAAACATACATGGCTCGACATACTGTAACATATATTAAAAATGAACTGGTTGATTTATACGTGCTTGGATATTCTGTGCCACAAGGCAGAGAAGAGTATTTGAATTTCGCGCCACGTAGCGCGCTCGGTTATCGAAACCATGAATAGTTTAATGATACGATAAATTGATAAGACAACCGATACCTCTTGTAATACGATTACGAAATGAATTCTCTTAACATATATTTATATGGATATGCGGATAGAACGCAGAATGGACGAATAAATAAAGAAAAAATGTATGACCGTATAGAACTGATTTATCGTAATCTTACATATGTATGGAAGAGTAACATGAACTTTTTCGAGTATCCATTATAATGCAATACTCGACCTGTATAATACGTTCGACGCATCGATTTGAAATGCAAATGGCGACGAAAAAAAAAAGAAGAAAAAAAAAAAGTAAGACGCAGCAACTTCCTTGAAGTGCTTCCAGGATACGTTGCCGTTGCTCAGCGACAGTTTATTATGATTTACGATAAATAAAGCGTCACGTAAAGAATTAACGTGTTACGTAGGTGCTGGCTTAAGGATATGACGTCATATACGTGTAAGGTTGCACAGATATCTTATGGGGTATACATATGTATCTTAACGTTAATATATCGCTTGACGATAGTCTAAAATTTCATCCTAACTTTATTTTCGCGAACTAATGCGCACCTCGGGAACTTGCCTTTAGCGTATGACGCAAGAGTGCGCTATAGATCACAAGTTCGTTTCATTACGAAGAGTGTATAATGAACTGGCCAGGCAGCTCTTATCCGTCTGATCAGCTGTCGAATTAATCTTGCAAAGTGAACCACGTGAAAGACTTTTAATGAATGACTGGTAAATCGTTGCTTTACCTTATAAAGTTGACTCGAATCTTTGAGTCAATGATGGTACTATCTTTCGGATGTACTAGAAAGTATATAGGTATACGAAAAATTCAAAAATATTTTTTTTATCCAAATTTAAAAATACCTGTCCGATTGACTGTCTGTAAAATTTTTCGAAAAAGTTATTAAATTTAGCCAGTTAGCAGTTTGGATTCACTTTTTACAGTTTACTGGTCGATTTGGCTGTCCACTTGTTTTTTACTACGAATGGTCACGTCGATACGATTCTGATCGACGTGATACGAGTGAGTGATTTTTTTGAAATATCCTTTACGCCACGCATTATCACAAAAAGAGGCTTAGTTGTCGAGGCTGCGTATCGGTGGGATGCAGGGAGTAGAGGAAAATTTCTTACAAACTCTCACGTAAATCTCGTACCAATTCGTTTCATTCTAAATGTCTGTTGCTCTACTGAAACAGACGTAGTAGAAACGTTTGTGGTTGGCTGTTTATTTTAAAAACATCTCAAACCACACGATTCGCAGACACCACATGTCGTTGGCTTTATTAGACGGCAAAGTTAGAAAAGTGTCTTATCCGGCGAGTCTACGTTACCGAAAATATGTGTTAAAAAAAAAAAATGAAAAATGAGGTAAAAAGTATTTACATGAAACCATGAAAACAGGCAAAATTCGCACTGACAATAGTTCCGTGTAGATTTTCAAAAAATTCCACAAACGTTGTTAGTGTATTTCTAAACAATTATTAAAAAATTTATTGTTTCAAATTTTGGTAAAAATTATTCACTCTCGTACTAGAAAAAAAAACAAGGACACCCACGTGGCAGTGAAACCGCCAAAAAAAGAAAGTATGAATCCCCCAGATGGGGAATTACAACGTGATAGCCTTGAAGAAACAAAATCGACAATAAACCCATGCGCGACACACAGCATCCATATACCGAAGAATTCATCCGAACGATTTATATCTTCCAGCATCCGTGACGCAAGTGAAAAAAAGGCAACGTGCACAACCACTTAAAACTTTTTTCTCCAATAGGCCCAGCATCCTCTGGTAGACACGAGTATCGCATAACGCAGAAGTGGGCATTATCATTTACTTCCTGTCTGGTCGGACAATAGCGGCCCTCAGAGGACGTAAGTCCAGCGTCCTCAATGAGACACCTGCGTTTACTTTGATATACTGATAAGAAAATGATAAATAATAAGACGGCATTATAACCCCTTATCACCGTAGCGTTCATTCCGATAAGGCCCATTATACGAAAAAGTTACTCGAAAGCCAGCATATCATCCAGTGTCTACAAGATTGTAGAAGCGGTTAATCAGAACTCGTGGGACATTCTATGGATTGTAAGAAAAAGAAGAGGTAGGTACAGTACGCCTAAAAAAATTGTTCAAGCAGACACTTCATTAATTTCGGAACTGGTACACTCGGTGAAAAAAGCGAATGACCGGTATTGTGTTCGGCCTAGTTGTACCCGTGAGTACGTACACGAAGGTATGTGTGAACGGAAGAGAATGTTAAGATGGTAGAGTGGGGGTCGTTGGAGGAGAGACGTTATATTCGCAGTATGAATTGGTGAGACAGTGAGGGAGAATATTCGTGTAGATTTTTAGAGTGGTTAACAGTGTGACTCCATCAAGAAAAGAGGTCAGGAAGCCAAGCAAGGCCACCTTACTCAATAGTGTCGTACGTTATTATATATATTGATATAGGATGCAGTCATTCAACTCTCGTTCACATAATCGATATCCCTGATGATCCTCGATGTTTCGTATCGAGTGTACAGAGGGAAGCTAAGACGTGCGGGCCGTACGCGAATCACAATGTGCACGTGAGCGCGCTGTGGAATAACCAGCAGCTGCTGTAGGCAAGAGAGGTCGTCGTTCTATAGTCTGGACGAGTTTAGCGGTACTTGAACATGGCGGCCTTGCTGTTTGTCACTTTGAGTAACAAAGTTCTCGTGAGAGAAAGAGTGAGTGCAAGGAGGTGAATAAGACGAAGAAAGACAAAACAATAAGGTCTTTCGGTAGAGTAAAAGTTTTAGTGAATGTACCTTGTATTGTTTTAAGGCTATTGGGGAATTCCCCGAAAATTGTAGCGTGGGTGATTTCAACGTATAAAGGAAACGAGACGGTAAATCCAAGTAGAAATTTTCGAAGCTCTACATTAAAATACGAACCGTGTGTCTCTGAAGAAGAGACGGCACGAGATTGAAGCGCGAGTCAGAGTGTTTGCAGAACTGAAAATAGTCTTCGATGAATGATGGAATGGTATCGATCAGGCATCTTACGGGATTGAATATCCAGAGGATGGAAACGAAGACGTAGTAGTAGTTTCTAAGCTCCTGAGCAATAGACTATTTGCAAATTGTCGTGCCAGCCTGTTCTCGGATGACCTAGATTGGGGTAAAATTGTGCTCGTAGGGACTGTACGATGTTCCCATTTCGAAGGGAAGTACCTTAGAGTGGTGGTGGGGTGTTCATTCAGTACCAAGAGAGTCAGAGAAGAGAGTGGTAAGATAGATAAAGAAGAAATAGATTATAGTTAAGAATAACGTACACTAGAGAAAAAAAATCATTTACCTTTTGGAACGACGCAATTTTGAATCTTCCCGCGCATGGAACCCCTGCACGAAGCACAGCATTATGGGTTCCCTCGGAGAAGAGGTTACCTCCCCCATGCACTTCGTGTTACAACCCTCCGCGGGCAATTAATTCAACCCTTGCCACTGCTTCCCCTTCCCAACGAGTTTTTAGCCACCCGTATATATTCGCACATATAGCCAGTACTTATAACAACGATTTCTGCGTCAAATTGTCTATAGCATTTTCGAAGAGAACGATATTGAGGTCGACAGTTTCAAAGTACCGTTTCGAGAATCGCGTCACGTGTTAGAATAAAAAAATATCCCTTCCTCATAAAAGGCAGAAGAAATATCAAGACTTCCTCGAGAATCACACGTGGAAGTCACAGAAGCACGTTCCTGACAGTCTCGTTGGAATCACCTTTGCATGTTAAACACATTAAAATCCAGTTGGTTCTCGGCAACACAAGTGCTTCAACAATTAGAAACAGCTGTTCCTATCATCGATAAACTACCGAGATCCACGTCGAACACAGCTTCAAATCGTATCCAAGTTGTTAGCGATAGTCAAACATCCCCGCAATAGAAAATCCTCGAGAATCTTTTCAAACAAGTATTTACACTCGCGAATGGCACTTCACTTCAAATAGAAATTGATCCACGCTCTGTTTCTTATGATAATTTCAACTAACTTATTTTCTCTTTACACTTTCGTAGCAGACGACGCTCTTCACCGTGAGTTAGTACAGTTGCCATGTGAACCTATAGAAGGCTACTCGCGCTTGGACTTTTCAAATCTGCTTCTTCCCAAGTAAAAACACAGAGTTTCGCCCGAAGTTCCTGTTCTACTGGCACTGGTGAAGATCCGAAGTCAACGCGGATTGACATAATGTGGAGGTAAGTCGAGGACAATCGCCCTAACCTCTTTTGGGACGAGACAACAACGCACCCGTGTCGTGCCTGAGCCACACTGACATCACTACTTGGCGCGTTCTTCTTCTATGCAAGCCGGCAGCCGCGTTCGATACTCGTTTGCTATGGTGTCTTCGCGGTAACTTCCACTGACTGTACGAGCTTCGTCGGCAACGTAGCGGCGCGTGTTTCGAGAGGGGATGACGACGATGACGTCGCCGAGACGTCAGTTAAAATACCCGAGTCTGTCTGATGGCTATTGCTCTCGAACAAACTGAATATTTGTATTTATGCTAAAGTATTGTTTCCTGTACCTCGATATTTACAGATACGTCTCATCTATTACTTGTTGTTCCTGAGCACTAATAATTTTACATTAGCCTGGAAGTTTATCGACAACGGGGATGTGCGGTGTTGTGACTCTGAATTATTGCGTAGAGAAATGTCACGGTTTCTATAAGTGCGAAAACGTGAAGATAATGAGTGAAGAAAAGAAAAGAAATATACGAACAAGATTCAAGAACATCGAGGAGCCGTTCGAATAAAAATTCTCGACTTACCGATAATCGTCAGTATAACTTTTTTTCTTTTTCGCAAGGCTAGCGTTAGGATCACGTGTCACGGAGAAAATGTTTCTCTAAAAAAACTTGTATTTTCGTAAACGCCACGTGAAACGGACTTTTCGCATTAAAATCAGCGAGTCTGAGTCTGTTTGATAAAAAATTCTCTCTGTCTCGTTTCCCTAAGAAAAATAGAGAAACGAGACAGAAACAAGTTTGAAACCGGTAACGCTCTCGATATTTGATTTAGACCGGAGAAAAATGTAAAATAGCTCGCTCCCGCCAAAGTCAATCTTGTCGTAACATTAAAAAATGGCGTCCGTCCTCGAGACACTCTTGCGCAAGCACCAACAGATCTGTGTTAAAATCCAAATTCTCTGGACCACCCATAATAATTTCAACTAGTTCAGCACAAACAAGATACCGATTCGCGAATGGCTTCGTTTTCATAAATCAGCCGATTTCTTTTTAAGCCGCTTTCTAGGTTGAACGCGTCGTTTATGCTTTGCGTTCTTTTACTCGGTATACACATATATTTATATATATATATATACACATGTATACTCAATATATATGCGGATTGCCATACAGTGTCGTAAGCATTGACTAACTGTTGTCTCTGCGACACGAGGCGAACTGAATTGTTCGTGATCGATTGAAAATGACGCTAGAAGAAAACAGACGTAGAAGAGACAGAAGATGAACCAGACGTTAGTGCCGAGGAAGGCAATGAGGGGTCTCGTTGTTATATGAGACGTAGACAAAGTGGGGGAAAAAGAACGTGCAATTAATCTGACAGATAACATGACCCCAAGGAAGCCTCGATTGATACAGTGGAGGATTTGCGTCAAAAGAAATTGGCTTCCTATCGCCTTTCGACTGGTTTCGCTAAGATCTCAGATTCGTTTTCCATTTCCTTTTTGGTCCTTATCAGTTTTGAAAAGAACGAGAAAGGTTCGTGCGATAACCTTCCTCTTTGAGGTTATCCGAGCTTTTCAAAAAAAGACAAATTAAAATATTCTATCCTTCCCACGCGTACGTCGACGCAAGACGAAACTGAGTATAGGACTTTATTCTGGTTAGAGTATAGACAATTTTTTTTTAATTCCTGCATTTCCTGCCACTAGCGCTATTTAAAGTAGAGAAAGTATATTTGGATGATGCTCCGGTGTCTAACTAAGGTACTGACGTACAAATGGCGGAAGGACACGAGTGGAATCGAGGTTAATAGATTTGAATGGACCTTTGGATATTATGACGTGAACTTATTTCGAAGGGGGTATACGTATATGTAGCTGCGATATTAATAGATTAGAAGGAACGCCCTCACCGCAGTAATTATTACGGTACACGAGCGTCACGTAGCGGCGGAACTGAGAATCCTAATAGCCAAAATTTCTACAGGGAACAAAAAAGCCCTTAGAACGGAACAGGCAAACAATTTATATTGCGCTTTCGTTCCCACGTATATTCATTAGCGTAATCGTAACTGACACCGTGCTGACGCGTGTCACAGTCTTGATTTTTAGAATATACCGGAAACGCTCAATACGCCTTCGATATGTTCGATGTATCGAATTCTCGTACCTCGAAGGTTAATATGCGTGAAGTTAAAAGAAATTTTGTGAAAAAATATTTTTTTCCCGGAAACACCTGTCCTAAATTCCTGTTTGTGGAAATTACGTAATAATACGCTATTCAAATAGGAAGCTGTTGTATGGTAAAAAGGGTATACAAAAGGAAGAATGCGTTGTAAGTAAATTGGATTTTTCGAAAAAATCGAACAGGTAATATTGCTTGTTATTTTTATTATTAATTTCAAGAAATGTCACGTAGCGACGACGATCTTATATTATGTCGAAGGTAGTAAAGTGGTAGCATAAGTAATAGGAGAGCTGCACGTGTGGCCTGAAACGTATATACCGTCTTCGGAATAACACCGGATACTGCACGGGTATATGGGAGGTTCATGTTACCTTAGTGAAAACGACGCAAATGCCAAGCTCGTTTATTTCCGCCAATGGGAAAAGCTTCCGGTCGAAGGTGCCAATCGGTACTGAGTTCAGTCGCTCGTGCTACTATTCCACGTGACTAATTTTAAAAAATAAGAAAACAACTTAGTATACATATAGCGTACTATCAAATCAAAGGATACCTGATGCCGATATATATTCTCTAGTTGGAATCGTAACGTTTGGAGATTAACCTTAATATCAAAAGCCTTCGCGTGTGAAACCTTACAATATTAATTCACTAGTGAAACACGTACAAGGGTAATTCGCAAAGTATTGTATGTCATTGTGAATCCTGAAAACAATGCAGTCGTCCTACTTTGATTAAGTAAGAATTTATGAATCGAAAGTGAAAAAAAGTGCATGCGTATCGACGATATGAATTTGCAGCGATTGTCCAACAATTCTATAAACAGAAAATTTACAAGAATTTTTGTCACCTGAAATTTTATAAATATAGCATAACATGTTACTGGACCAAAATCTTCGAGATACAGTTATCATCTCACATATCTTGAAGATAGTATACGTATTACATACCAGTGGTACGTTATAAAGGTTATGTAAATATTTTTACGTGATAGAACGATAAGAAGATATGAAATTAGGGTGGAAAATCATGTGATAAACAAAAAAACATCTTTGACAAAGACGCTTTAATATACTGCTGGTAATTCTCTCCGGCTTTGTTATCAATGTGATAACCACATTACGTGTGCATTGAAGTAGTTTGTATTATATACATATAATCAAAACTTGTTTTCAGATGTCAATGCTATAAATGAAATAATTTAGATGGTACCGTGAATCAGTGTTTGGAAAAAAAATATTGTGCAAAGCAATTGTGCAAATTAACAAATCCCTGATTGACCCCACAGTTATTTGTAGATCAATAGCAATTATTTTTAGCAACGTACCATGTAATAGCGTTGCAATTATTTTCAGCACTCTTAGAAAGACAGACGCTGAAATAGTTTGTATATACACATACACTATATACAGTCAGTATGTATATATCATATATATATATTGACTACTTTATTGTACAAGAAGTATACATATAGGACGGAATTCCATCGTGTGTGTTAATAGAAATAAATTTGTCAGGTCAAATTGCGCGCCACGAATAACCGTTATCCAAATAAAGATTCCTTCGGTATTTACATCGTCTGCCAATGCAGGCGCAATTTCGAATGCCAATCTAAGATCTACTAAATTGAGTCAAAGGTGCCAGACGTAAAAGTTTCATCCAATTCCTTACGATAACTGAATTACACGTAGACAAATGTAAGTACGTGATTTGATATAATGTTTTATTCGAGATGACCGTACAGCTTTGAGATATTGATAACTGATCGACGTGCGATGCTAATCGATTAATCAATTGTCATTGTCACCTGATAATAGAATGCTGCCATTTTGTAGGCTACGTAAAAAGTCGTTAGGGAGTTGTTTCTAAAAGTCACGTAACTGACAATGGTACTTTTCAGGTTAAAAAGTCTATGTATGGTAACAAGGTCACTTCTTTATCAACTTTAAGGTTATGATATTAATTCCATTTGATGCCTATAGAGTTCTACGTAATACATCAGACCCCACAAATCCTTGCACTTTCATGAGAATCGATTTAACACTTTGCACTGCACACTTCCCTATTTTTCATATATTTTGGTGCCTGAGAGGAGACAGTGAAGTCCAAAGCGAATACATTTTGACATACCTTGATACCTGGGCTATTCCGATCCAATTTCCGTTTACACTGTCATTACAGTGACAAATAGCACTCTACTTTTATTACTGAATCGCCCCATATCACGAGCGAAATCAGACACAATATTCATTCTACTACACATATTGTCGCCATCACGTGGATTCGCCTGAATTGTTGTACGTATATACAGGGTAACTCGGACTCACCAAGACGCACGGGTTTTTCGTAATATTCTCGACAGGCCGACTGGCAGCGACAGTCTACGCAGTGCATCCTCGGGATACGCGCCACCAGCGCCAACGCCATCCAGTCTCAGCCATTCCATCATTACAACGACACTTTTCTCCCCGATGGATTTTTTCGACAACGACGGTTCGCTTTTCGTCAAATTTGAACTGCCATTAGTGCCATGTATCACGTCTGACTCGATTACTTCACGAGGGTCGACAGTGCTACCGGTGTTCAAGGTACGTTGTTGTTCCGATACGACATTTTTTGTCAGCTGATTATTGTCGTAGTTGAAGGTGTCCAGCATAATTACGAATTTTCGACACACGCGCGTGTTGCGTGCCCAGAAGAATTTCCATACGAGATCCGTGTTGTGTATCGATTCCGTGTTAACCCGCTAGCGTCTTTTCCGCGGCGGAGGGAGTGACAGGGGAAAGTGAACGAGTGAGAACGAGAGAAGTGAAAAAGATTTAATTATAAAAACGGTCGGTGAGGAACGTGCGAAATTGTTGGGCATACGGAACAAAACGCTAGGCGATACTAAATAATACAACGGGTCTGATTCTATTATCAGTGTATCCATTGTAATGATGACTATATATTTTGTGTACAGAGCTATCACGAATATTTGTGTTTCTTGTGTGCGTGAATTGTTATCAGATAAGCTTTTTAAGGATTAATTAACCATCCTTGAGATAGGTGGTAGCATTTTGATTAATTAGGCAGATTTTGGCGTATCGATTGCGTAATTTTCATTATTTATTTTATCGACATAATTCCGTGGAGAATTCACGAATATTGAACATGAGTCTTAAGACATTGTGAAGATTTGTGGAGTGAAAAAAAGAACAGAGTAAATGAATATTAGCTTGCATCTTCCAGTCGCTTCTGAATATTGATTATTGTTGTTTTTCATGTACCTTCGGTTATTATCCGTAATACTCAATGTGTACGCACAGCTGTCTTAATGTTATTGCGAGCCAGACGATCATTGACTTGGAAATAAATAGTAAGGCTATAATCTTACGAAATATCGAAAACGGATTAATCGCGAATTTACTATATGGTTATTAATAATTTTTCAAATACCGTGAGGTGCTGTTATCGTGAACTAATATTATATTAAACCATACTTCGTGACGTGGGCGACTATCGGTTGACGCGATATTCAAAGAATATTTTACATGTAAACACGCTGTGCAAATTTTTCAAAAGACATTTGTAAACTTAGGAGAGGCGAGAGTTATCACAGTCGCAATGTATGTGTAGCGTACACATATGAGAAAGCATAGAAGTATTAAAAAATACCTTTTGCTTTTTTTAAGGAACAAAAATGAACTCACCCATTAAGGATAGAGTCAGAATCCATGGAGTTGGATGGTCCGGACACGTGAACCTTGGGAAGCCCAAAGCTGTCGATTTGATTTTGGGACTGACCCTGCTGATGATGACCTTGGCCATGAGTACTCCCATGGTGACTATGCGTCGTCGAGGAGTCATCACTGTCGCTGCTTTGTAAATGCTCCGACCCGACTCCGCCACGAGGTCTGAAACAAGGTAAGAGTTGCAGACAAAAGATTAGGACAATTGTATTTAACAGTATTTATATGAATTTCGATAAAGATGGCATGCTTTATATTTGCTTATTGATATCATACACGAATCTAATTATTATCAGCTGTGACTTTTCGTGTATGTTATGTTCTTGCGTATTACCAAGTTGCATAATTTTTTAACACCCAACATTTCTCATGAATTAATCACAACCAAAGATAACTCCTAATTTATTTATGAATTCACCAATTTTCTAGCAGTTGAATTTCAAGTCGTTCATAAAACTGTCATGGATACCGAAAACCCAAGGGTAGTTTACCCTTACTCACAATACTCTTGTTCAATAGAAAAAAAAACCTTACAAATAATTCCTACAAACAAAATTCGACTAACCAAATACTTGTTTCAAATTTCAACTAATAAATCATTATCAGCAAAATTACAAAAAAAAAAAGGATTAATAAACATGCACCTGTGGTGAGTAGTGTCGTAGCTGGCCGTCCAATATAGGGGCGCCACTGTCCCGTGTTGTCAGTCACAGCCAACACATGCAAATCAGCAGCAAATCCAATTTTGTCTATTTTCCCAAATTAATGAAAAAAAAAAAAATAAAAAAATAAAATCGAAACCACGCCTGCGATACAGACTCAAAAAAAGAAACCTCTCAAATCCCCAAAACGAAGAGTTACAAAAATCAAAGTAATCCCCTAAAAATCCACTTACTAAAAAATCTCAATATAACCCAAAATGTTCCCCTCTAAAAAATTGAACCCCTCAAATCAAGTAACAAACACGCGACAACCACAATTCTATATACGTTGTCCTCCACACGAGTATGCTTTGCCTTCTTTTATTTCCACGCTAATGACACGGTCACGAAAACAATTCGGATGCTGCGTCCAATTCGTCCCGCTGTATCCCATCCGTGTAGTCGTGTTTCTTATAACGGAATACGGCAATGCGGTGCGTGAAATGTGCTGCAGTCTTGCACTCATGCACTCTGCCTCTTCACATCACTCTCTTCAGGGACGAAGCACAACGACGCATACTCGTAACGTCGAGTTGCGTCTGCGCCGTTGAGGTTACCTATTGACCGAATGTGCAACCTCCATGTTGGTGCCACTGTGTGTTACCAGTTGGATACTAACCAACACAGAAGAATTTCTTCTCCTATCGGATCTTCTGAAATCCTCCCCCTCCACCCCCCCTCGCCTTGATACCCACCCCCCCATCCCAACCCATTCCTCTCCTCCACTTTTCAACCATCATCCATACTCTCCTGCTACGTCTAGATCTCTCCTCAACAGCATCTCACTTGGTCCAGCTATTCATCACTTTTCTCCCACTAATTCACTCTCACCCAATGCACATGCAATATATATAGATATGCACTATACACATATATAGCGGTCAGCTGATCGAGACTGTTGGCCCCTAGTCGCACGCGCTTCCACATGCCAGGTTCTCAGGTTTTTGTGGAGAAATAATGGTGATGTGTCGATAAGGAGATTGATTAAGAAGAAAAACATCGATAATCAGATGTACTATCGATTTTGAGATAAGATTCGGTGATTTTGGATATCAATGAGTTCTGACAGTTATGGGTGCGTGAGGGACGGCAAAATGTTGTCAGATATTTTTTGGGAGGTTTGGGAGATTTTTTTTTTGAAAAAAATTTTTTGGCACTTTCGGTAACGATGATATTTAACTACTCACTCAGGCATGGAGACTACTGGACATCCGAGCTGCAACAGACTCCGTGCCAGGAGTTCGGGCGCAGGTGCGGCAATCGCAGGTGCGGAATGCCTGGCTGGTCTCCCGGGCGAACCTGCTTCAGCACCAGCAGCGTATGGCACATTCAACAAATTTTGATGATCCGTTGTGCGCGACACTCGCAACGATCCGCCGCGACGCAGCTGCGTCCCCTGTTCTGCTTCTGAAACGTGGTTGTATAGGTTTTCAAAATGCTGTCGCGTATGGTCGCAAAGTAAATAGAAAAATATTTACGAATTCGTAGCTTAATTTATATACGAAAATTTGCGGTTATGGTTTTAATATGTGAGAGGGGTTAAATAAATTATTTACAAGGAGCTACGACAACGCGACATGAAAACGCGCGTTTAATTCGTTTGAAACGTTATTACGTCAGTCGTGCATTAAAAATACGTGTCCGGCAGTAGAGACTGGCAAAGTTACGTGAGCCTGTTACGTTGTGGCCATTAAGTAAACTCTCGTGTGTTTACCTTGTATTTGAAAAATTCGTAAAGCCATACGAGAGATGAGGAATGTGTGTCTATGGCGATTCAAAATATGAATAAACTCCCGCCAAAATTCTTACGAAATGGCGCTTCAATTCAGTTTGCCACGGAAGTAGGTTGAACAAACGTCAGATTTGCGTTGGTCTACTGACTGAAAAGTTCAAACTGCCTGTAGCTAATATCCACTCGAGAGACTTGGCAAGACTTCGCGCATCCGACGTGGAAAATGCGACATTCGTAGAAAATTCATGACACACTTTCCATCGGGACCAATTCCGATTTATTTGATGATTCTTGCATACTACGAATATACGGTATAAATGAGATATTTTAAGGAAATGAAAATTTGATATTCTCAAAATTAAGTTGAAATCAAATATTTTATATTTTACATAATAATTATCAACTGTTGATACACGTTACTGTGTTTTACATATTTTTTATTTCTCATGTCATTTAATTACAAAGTCCCTGACTCTCGATGACTTGTAAACGCAATAACGTCCGCGGGAATGACTGTAATAATTATAGGATACTGTCACGAGAAATATTATCGTTATATATATCTTTTTTCTCTATTCCGATCGACTCTGAATCGGCAGCACGTCGTTGGAATTTTTAGTATCGTTAGTAACGTTAAAAGCAACCAACTGTTGGATTAATTTATTAAAAAATTCACAAAATCCACAAACCGTACCGACTACTAATTTTATGACTATGTCGGTTTCAAATTATCCTCATTATAAGGCCTTTCGCCAAAGGTAATATCATCTACCGGAAGTCATAGAAAATTTATATATCCTCATATGAAACCGGCAAAAGTTCTCAAGACTAATCGAATAGAAATCGTCCTGTCTGAAACGATGACAGTATAATTTTTTTTTCAAGTAAACAGTTTACTATTTGTTACAATATTCAGTAAATCCATATGCGCGATTGCCTTGATAACACTGTAATACAATATCCGCACGAAACACGCACTGCGATAATTTCCCCACAGAATTGTCAAATTTTTAACATACCATTGTATCACCCACGTGGTCGAGTTTCAAGATTGTCGGAATCGAAAAAAAAAAAAAATTTCTCATTTTCAATGACTGTCCTGGTGAACGACCGGTGTACCGTAAAAACGCGTTCTTTCTGTTTGCGCAAACGTAAGTCCAGTAAACGCGTTTAGATAACGATCATTACGAGGTCAAAGTTCATCAGCAGTCCTACCCACTGACCATTGTCCACATAACGTAATTCAAGCTTCCTCAACGATCTGTTTCTCAGGTTATTGTCAGTTGTAATCATAAGTATACTTGTTCCTTATTATCGTTTAATGTATACATAACCTATTCATCGATCTATTCGGTCAAGTCCATTGACTACTAGAAGCAAAGAGGCAACTGTGAAAAAAATACAAACCTATTTAAACGGGTTTCGAAAAGCACGGGAAATTTTAAATAACACCGTTATCACTTTCTACTGCTCGTCGTTCACGTTCATTTCCGCATACTGTTATCCGCATACTGTACTTGACCAACCAAGTTGTTGGATCAAGTTCAAAGCACGTTTATACGTCACGTTCTCTTTGGCAGACCAAAGCCAGACGAGTGCGTTTAATTTTAAGACTATTTTTTTTTTGTTATTTTCGAACAACCACGTCAAATCGATTAACGTCGTCTGCTCTTTGGCACTAGTGGTGTTTCATGAAAGTTCACTATTTTCATGTAAAAGATTAACGATTTTCAGCCTCACAGTCGTATTCTTGAGAGATATAATTATGTGCGCGTACGTACGTTGAAAAGTCATCATCCTTGCTTTCGACAACTGGAACATCTTCACTGACGTTTCTAATGCGGGTTCACAGCTGTTTTACGTCAACGATCCATTCGCGGTCAAAAACGTCGATAGTCGGTGGAAAGGTGGAATATACTGTATCCATATGTGTGTGTGTATATATATATATATATATACACATGTAGTTATGTAAATATACGTGTATTTTCAGGACTACCAAGTACCATTACGATCAATGCTCCTTATTACCTATGTGTATCAATACTTTATCTTTCACATTATACCAAGTACGTTAAAAATGTCTGTGGATAACATATTATGCTGCAAATAAATGTGGAAAATAAGCGTATGACTAATTTATTTATCGTTACGCTAATTACAGACAATTATCATATTCCACATTGGAATTATAATTTATTCATATTTGCCTGTACACTCTGTACGTATAGATTGGTGCATAAGATGCAAATAAATATCTTAGTTCGCGACTAGCAATGATACTATTTATTTATTAGGTCGTTCGTTTGCCCACTGAGTATTACTAGTTTACTCGAAAATAGAAACACGTAAATTTTCGAAGTTCTAAATATAATGTAATTCGTACCTCTTCCGTCCAATGACGATGGCGGTAGCCGCAGGCTGTTTCCTCGACGAAGACTCATTGGACTTCCGTTCGAATTTGCAATCGGTCTGACCATTCTCAGAAACGTAGGGATTTTAGTTTTCTTCAGGTGGTCAAAGTTTTATGCTTTATTATACTTTATTAGGTTTTCATGAGCCTCGCGCGTGGATGAGCTGCCAGTGCACTATTGGTTAGGACGATTTATAACTCCTCGAACTGTAGTAATTCCTGAGGATGACTATTGACTGTTCGTGGTCTCTCGCGTGGCATAACCGTAGCGTTCGGCCAATAGAAATAATAGAGAAAAGTCACGTGTGTGTTGAACAACATATTATTAGTAATCTGTGGTCAATGCCAACGCGAAAGAATCCAGCTTATAGGTGAGAGCTTATACGTTTTACGAATGTGTACTACTCTAGTCAATTTGCGAGAAGGAATGAAAGTAACGTACGTTTACGAAGAAAATGGAATAAAAAATAAATGGGAGATAAGGTGTTTTTTTTTCAATTACATAAGCTTGTTTGTTCACTTGTTACGTTAGTGTTTAGTACAGTTGCGAGACGATTATGATGTGTGGCGACCGTTTTGAACTGCTTGATAAACTCGAGGTGGATCTTTTTGACGGTTATTTTTGAATTTTTTTCGAATCCCGTGATTGCGCAATTTTGCCAATTTCGATTGGGTGCTTACTCGGATTGGTCGGTTGTGCTTGTTTTTCGAGATACCAGAATCGTCTAGATGAGTTATTTTTGACACTTGCACCTGTCAACCACCAGTACTTGCGTCGATCTACCGAGGATTTTCAGTGCATGAATTTCATTAGATTTCTAGTCTGCTTTCTTGATAGCTAAATGTATTGTCCTATACAGATATATTCTATCGGGAAATAAAATGTCGCGCGCATCTTGGTTTTACACAGGATATGTGCTGGATGGGAGTGACGAGGAAAGTGGGAATGCATTGGTCATAGATAGGAATGCACCTGTTGCACTGATTTACACATTGCTTACACGGTAAATTAAGTTACCCTTACAATCCATGACAATTTGAAATAAAAGAATTTTTTATGGAACACGTGGATATTCTAAATTATTTTTTAAAAATAGGTTTATAATTATTCTTTGATATGTCTTGAAAATTCAGAGTAATTTGCTCCTAGGATTATTCACTTTTTATTTGTACCATTCGTGTTCAGCATGACGTTTTTAAATTCTGCTAAGAGTTTTAAATGCCGGTAGTTTTTGTTTTCTTTGAAAAACGTCAACGCGATAGGAAATTCTATACTTTGCGGAACGACTATGATAAACGCGTATCCAAACGAGTGTTGGCGCTGCGACTGAAGGAGTTACGAAAAGTCGAAAGTTTATTTTCGTGTCGCTCTTCGTGCTAAAGGGCGAGTTCACAGTAATGATCGCGTGCTGACCAATAGCGATGCGGTGGTCCGCTCGTCGAGCAACTGTATATCCATTACTGACAGTATAGCTAAAAATATAACATTGTTTACATATCGGTGGTTGACGTTATCAATTTTTTTGGAGAATCTCCATCATGAAACATTATTGATTCTCAAACTGTTGATACATCAGCACATCAAATTATCGAGCGAAAGCAGTATACACTTTGAACGTTTTCGTGGGAGGATGAGTCAGTAGTATATAAAAAAGAAAATTAAAAATACATCTATGATACATTTCGCAATCCACGTGCTTTCTAACAATGTGAAATAATTCGAGTCATCTTTCCTTAATTCTAATAGAAATTAAATCAATTATGACTATTGCTGCTGAGCCATTGTTGCACTTGGACTATTTATTTTATTTAAAAATACAATTTCAACGACCGATAGATACTTAAACTTCAGTTATAATTGTACGTTGATCGTTGTGAGAAATTTTTGAAATTTCTCAGCCATGGTACTCTGATGATGGCCGCAACTTTTGGCAATCTTGATAATCTCTTTGCTTCGATCCTGGAAGGCAACCTCGAGACGACTGACGCTGCTTCGATTCCCTGTTTCGTTGACGATCTTGTCCTGCCTGATTTTCAATCTAGGGTCAAACAATTCGATCTTGTATGAAGAATACTTTTCGTAAGAAGCCGTCAAGACGACGATTGTATGAGCTAGGAATCTGCGTTGATACCAAAGAGCCTCGTGATCGGGGTACGACCTTGTCAGGTCATCATTGAACATGCACTCTTCCGTTAAATAAGAAAGATTAATCAGACATCGATCGTAATCGATATCCGATCGGTTGCCAGTATCGAATCCATGTAAAAGATCGAGAGCCTCGTTAGACGATCCGTCGCGCAAGATAGAAACTTCAGTAGATTCTCTTATACTTGGTTTAACGAATTCATATAAGATTTCACGACGTCCCACGATGTTGTCCGACGCTGTGACAGAATTTTCTGACAACAAAAGACTTTTCAGTAGAAACTGCCGGTACGCCAGGCCACTGTAATCCGAAATGTGTTTTGTGCACCACTTTTCAGAGCTCGTCCATTCCTCTTTCAACAAAGACATGTAAGCTGCAGGTACTAGAGCCTCAAAATTTCCTACCACGTGTTCACGATGGCTCCAAGCATGACAGTTATTCGCGTAACGATCAGCCGACATGGAGGCCACGTGAATTTCGTTACGTAGCAGCGTCTCGACGTCGGTGGGTGGCTGCTTCTGTTCAACCAGCATATACTGAAGGAGCCATCGTCGATAGGCGAAAGCCTCGAAGCATTTGGCCTTGTAATAGAGAACTATGGCGACAAAACGCAGCTCGTCCGTTGGATCCAGTCGGCCACTTTTTATTAGCTCTCTCCTCATGTTCCAGAAGGTTGAGATATCTGGATTCAAGAGAAGTGCACCCATTAGCCATCTTGATACCACGCTTGGATCTTCGCGTCTATGTTTGTTTCTTCGTAGATCCAGCAGTCGGTTGTAGGCATAACAATAAAGTGGTTTCACGCTCCAGGACGCCAAGCCCAACGAATTTTCAGCATGGAACACGGGAGATTTATTCTCGTTATCCAATGCAGGAATTATCTCAAAGCTGACACTAAAACAAAGTAATATTGTTTAATTGATAAATTCTATTATTTTAATGATTAATCAGTAGTGTGTATTTGTTGGTAAAATACTATTAGGCGTTCATTGAATCTTGAACGTATTCAAAAACCCCGCCCTTACTGCAGATGATGTACACCATCGAATGTACACTTACAGATTCAGATCCTTCCTCAGGACATTGTCGATATCAGAAAGGATTTTTTCCGCGGCCGGAAATGTATCTTCCTGCATTGTTTCTCACTCTTCTCTTTGGTTCACATGTCTCGGATGTTCAATCGCCAATCACTGGAGACTCTGTCCTTGTATTTTGTGCTGGTGCAGCCTTCAGTGCAGGGAGGATATAGCGTTTCTCTGCGGAAGTATACGGTATTGGCTTGAAGTTTGTCATTTTTACTATTCGCATCGTACCACTGGCGGGAACGTACACATTGTTTCAACGTATTGTTCAGCTTTTCTGTTGTAATCACGTGTAATACACGTCATTAAGTTTTTACAGTGATCTATCAAAGTGTATTGTATCGTTTGTGTGACTTGTTTACGTCTCTAAATTTGGAATCGTAATATGGCGTGGGTACGTTGAATGGGACTTACATTCTTTCGTAACATCAGGATGACATCAAGCCCTTCTTATCAATTACGATTAAAAATTGCTCAAGCAAAATGCGATATTACCCAATCTTGACACTTTCTACACAATGAGGTTATCTTAACGTCAATTTTCCCTAGGACTTAGGGAATTTCCTTTTAAAGTTTGCACACGTTTTCCGACGGTCTAGGGATATTTTATATCTTATCACTAGCCGATGGCATTGCTATATCTCACGCGCGAATTTTTCCATTTTTTTTATGCTCGTTCACATGATTCAACTGTAAATAATGCAAAACTTACTGTAGTAAAACATTTATATAGCTGTATATGGCTAAGGCACCGCGAGGCTGCAGCGTCGCGTGTAGCATTGCCCAAGCTGACGCCTTATCCCCTCCAGTATTTTATGTACTTCGTAAAGATGTCGCCAGAGGGTGTAAGCGTTAAGTCTGTTTTCGCTAGATAATACGACTTGCTCATGGATATGTAGGAAACTGCTTTATGCGTAGTGATTTGATTGCCATGGCAACAATTCAATGCCCTTCTAACCTGAATTTTCTTCGTGACAAACCACTTTTTTGGATAGTGAGTTTTTTTTTTGTAATTCAACAGTGAAATGTAATTTTGCATTTTTAACTGCACTTCGCGACACGACGATTTGAAATTGCACGTTAAATCTGTCCCTATTGTAAATATCGGTTTAATGTATATATCAAAATTATTATTTTTTAAACAATTTCAAGCAAAACTTATTCAAATTCGATTTATGCACACTGTTCAGCACAATATGAGTCGTGGTGTATTTTTTATAAAATTAAAGGATAACGGTAGAGCACTGTTCTTTTAATATTCGTCCGTATATGTATTTATATATATTCGTAATGATTAACGCATATTATTTTTTTTCAGATAGAGCAGTATTGACTTATAAATCGGCTGATCGGGTTTTGGACATGCGTTCGATTATTGTACCACAGGAGCATAAAGGCCAAGGTTTAGCAAGATTGTTGGCAGAGGTAGAGAAGATGTTTGTTTAAAACATTCAACATTCACGTCACGATATATTTTCAGACGGCTTTCACATACGCAATCATTAATAATTATTATATGTACCTGACATGCGTATATCTGCAAAAATATTATCTCGCAACAAAGACGATTGAGCTCGAAGAACGTGTTGTGGGTCCAAAGCACATTTTGGAAGGACCAAGCTCAAAAGCACTGGATCCGGATATAATATACGAGTTACCCGATCCGGAGGAGTTTGATGTGTTTCCAGAAAATCATAAGAAATAAGAAATTAATAATACAACAGGAAAAAAAATCATGGAAGAGTTAGAGTACAGAGCACTCATAGAATGGTACTGCAGACATCGTTATTACAATGAAATGTTGTTTCATGCTAAACAAGCGTGTGACGCACATCCAGCAAGTGATTATTTACGAGTATTAATTGCACTTGCACATGCACTTAACGATCAGAGTGGAGAAGCCATTAGGGAAGCTGCAAGTTTGACTAATTATGGTGATTCAAGTCTGGCTGCATTACTTATACAAAGCTTTGCACATAGAGCATCTGGCAATGTCGATAGAACGATCGTGACACAGATTGATGCAAAAATTCGAGAAGATAGAAGAAAGGCAGGTGCACCTGCACTGTCATTGGCTGCGATTGTTCTTTCTTTACTTGGGAAAGCTGAAAAAGCTAAGGAATATGCTGACAGGGCTTATAAAATGAATCCAGCTAATGTCGATGTTCTGTTGGCTAAGGGTTGGTCAGAATTATATTTGCCAAAGGACAATCGTGCTGGAAAATCGATCGACTATTTTGAATTGATTTTAAAAGAGAATAAGAAACACTTGAGTGCTTTGCTGGGTTCAGCAAAATTCAAAGAAAATAAAGGCGACCATTCAGGTGTTATTTCGATATTAAATTCATTGATTGTCAGATATCCAAGATTGTGTTTGCCATTGATTGAAAAGATGAGTAATCAATTAGCCGTCAAAGATTGGGAACAGGTGATCGAATCTGCAAACAGAATATTACAAATTGACGCAAACAATCTTGACGCAATAAAGATGAAAGCACTTGTAGCTATGTGCAAAGATGGAGATTACGTCGAAGGTTTGAGATTCGCTCAGCAATATTTTCGAAATTTGGCACGTGCTGAACCCAGAAACGTCAATCTTCTGATTGACAGTGTTGAATTGTACTCAAGAGTAATTGGCAGAGATTCGGGAATATTAAATGAACTGATAAAAGTCGTTGACAAAGCCGTACAAATGAATCCACAAAATGGCGAGCTAATGGTTCTACTTGGGAATCTTTATGTGTTCATAGGTAAAATTAAAGAGGCTGAACATTGGTTCAGAAATACAGTGAGAATCGACGAGTCGTCATTTGCCGCATTGACAGGATTGGCTCACTGTCAAATTCTTGACACTTCAGCAGGCGCCATGGAATTAGCACGGCAACAAGTTGATTTTCTTCTGGAAATACAATCGGAAACAGCTAATGCTGATATTTTATTCATGTCCGCTAAACTTTGCAGCAACGAACCGAACAAGGCTTTAAGCTATTTGGATATGGCTGCCACAATACTTTTGGAGGATTGTAAAAATATTCCTTACGGTTCCGAATACCTGAAGGCGTTGAATCCGGATTTTTGTTTGGAAATAGCCAAAGAGCATTTAATCCATTCACCCACTACTGTTGTATTGGATGCCACTGACAAAGTTTCACTGTCAATGAACGAAGTGAGCACAAAACGTAGTCTAAATATTTTGGAAAAAGTAACGGACGCGTGCCCCGGTCTGGGCGCTGCCATGTTGATGTTGGGAAAGGCAAGAATGCAAAATGGAAATTTGGACGGTGCTTTAGAAATTTTACGTAAACTTTTAGACACCGTGGATCCATCAAGTGCACCAGCGCATCTATTGATAGCTCAAATTTTAGCGAAACAGGGTCATTATCAACAAGCTTCACAAAGTCTGGAAGTGGGTCTCAGTTACAACTTCAAAGTCAGAGACGATCCTATTTATCATCTGATTATCGGCATGGTCGAGAAGGAAAATGGCGACTTGAATGGCTGTATTCGCAGTTTCCGAACAGCCATGTCGTTCGCTGGTTTGCAACCAGGCGAAACTGATGGATCAATAATTCCTATATCATTGTCTGACAAGACCACCTTATATTTGGAATTGATTTCTGCGTACAGTAAGATCAGAGAATTCAACGAAGCATTGACCTTAATGGAGGATGCTAAAATCCACATGAACGGTACTGTTGAAGAGGGTCGAGTGATTATTGGAAATGCTGAATTATGTTTAGAAATGGGTGACATGGAAAAGGCAATTCATTATTTGAATAAGGTGTCGCCTGGTGAATCTTATTACCTACAAGCTCATACAAGACTCGCTGAAATTCATTTGAATTACAGAAAAGATCGTCATGCCTTCGCAAAGTGCTTCAGGTTGTTATTTTTATCAAATTACATATGATTTTATACTCAATGATCCTTTATTTTACAGGGAATTGGTTGAACATTGCCCAGGTTCAAAAACTTACAGTATGCTTGGAGATGCATATATTGCTATACAGGAACCCGACAGAGCGATAGAGGCCTATGAGCAGTCGCTGCGAAAAAATCCAGGAGATAAAACGTCAGCGAGTAAAATGGGAAAAGCATTGGTAAAGACACATCAGTATGGAAAAGCCATTAATTATTACAAAGAAGCTACAAAGCAAGAGGGATCTAACGAACTGAAATTAGACATGGCTGAGTTGTTCATGAAAATGAAACAATACGACAAGGCCGAAGTGACGTTGGTACAAGAACTACAAGGTAAATGATGTTTAGAGTTTATTTTTATATCCTGGTACCATTCATATTCTTGTATACTTTGTAGATGGTCGCAGTGCCAACGATTTGCAAAGTTTGGAAATGCGTAGCAAGCAATTGTTGTTGCTTGCCAAGGTTCGCGAGAAGGCTGGAAATATTCAAGCAGCGTTATCCACTTTGAAAGAGGCAAAGGACAATCAAGTCAGAACTATACAAAGAATGGCGATGGCTCCTGGAATTATAGAACAAAAACAAATCTTAGCTCAAATATGCTTAACAATGGCATCTCATGCATCTGGCATGAGGGACTTTGATCAAGCTATAGTACATTACAAAGAAGCACTCAATCACAAACCAGCAGACGTCAATGCATTGTTATCTTTGGCAAAATTATACATGCAGGTTCGTTGACATATTCTGTTGATAAGCAATAATATAAAAATTCAGAATGAAATTCAGCATTGAACTAATTTTTGTTATAATAGATGAATGATTTGGATCGATGTGCCCAAAGCTGTACTGCACTTCTAAATGCGGATCCAAATAATGAATCAGCGTCAGTAATGATGGCTGATTTGGCTTTTCGAAAAGTCGATTTTGAAACAGCAGCTTTTCATTTTCGACAATTACTCCTACGACGTCCAACGTATTGGACAGCGTTAGCCCGACTGATCGAAGTGTCTCGTAGAATAGGTTCGTAATTTATTTAGTGAAAAAGGATTAAAATATTTATCCATTTCACGAAATATTGTTTCAGGTAATATGGACGAATTAAACGAGTGGCTGTCGCGCGGAGAAGCAGCCATGGATCGTTCGAAACGCGAAGCTGGTTTTTCATATTGCGCTGGTCTCTTGGAATGGCGAACAGGAAAATTAAATTCGGCACTTCGCCACTTCAATTCTGCACGTCGTGATCCAGAATGGGGACAACAATCGATATACAATATGATCGAGATATGCCTTGATCCTGATGACGATTCGACTTTATCGAATGATCCTTTCAATGACGATGACTCCGAATATCAGGACTCAAGAACAATGGCTTTAAAAACTGCACAGCGTCTTTTGCAAGTAATATCAATATCTAAAAAATCAACCAATAAAATGTCTGTATGATAAAAAGAAAAAATTATTTTAATATATTCTTTTGTCGCAGGAACTCAATCCTAAGGGTAGTCCACATGAAATATTGACTCATAGGTTATTAGGCAATTTTTTTCTACTGGCTACCAAACAAAAAGCTAATATCGAGAGAGCTTTACAAGACTGTACAGTCCTCGCCAGTCAAGATGCATTGAAGGATCATGTTGGTCCAGCATTGGGATTGGCTACAGCTCATATTTTATTAAAACAAACACCACGTGCGCGAAATCATTTGAAACGTGTCAGCAAGAACGTCTGGACGTTTGAGGATGCGGAATATTTAGAACGTTGCTGGTTATTGCTGGCTGATATTTATGTTCAGTCAAGTAAATATGATTTGGCTAATGAACTGCTGAGACGTGTACTTCAGCACAATGCTACTTGCGTCAGAGCTCATGAACTGGCAGGACACATTGCTGAAAGAGAACAAAATTACAGAGAGGCTTCGGCGCGATACGCACAGGCTTGGAAATATGGGGGAAAGTCTAAACTTTCTGTTGGGTATAAACTTGCTTACTGTTACTTGAAAAGCAAAGCCTATGCCGACGCCATTGAAGCCTGTAACGAAGTCTTAAGACAAAATGTTGATTATCCGCGTATCAGAAAAGAAATTCTAGAAAAGTCTATTAATAATCTACGTACATGAATTTCTTCAATTTTATACATGAACGTGGTTGTATCCAAAACAATGTCTCTTATTTGAGTTGACTTATAATAATTGTAATATAGTTTTGATTTTATATAACTCCAACCCCTGCACAATTTCCGTCCGTTAATTCAAGTATTATATTAATATAAGTTATCTACGTTAACAAATAAATGAATTAATTCAATATCAAAGTATCTATACTGATCATTTTTTGAGACAAATGACAGATCGACACAATAAAGCACACAACTTGGCTATTGGTTGGTTTTTACGTCAATTTTTGAAAAAAACCAATCACGTAGTTTCTGTGGAATTGTGCCGATCTGTATTGTTCAATTGAAAAGCTTCCATGGTGATGGTATCGGTAATGAATATACAATTATAACTATGAATTTGAAGGATCTGCTTGAGGAAGAGAAACGTGTAGTTATTAATCCATTACAAGATGAAAATCCTCCATTGCTAGTAGTCATTACCGAAGGAAGTACAACCTTGGCTCGTGCACTGATATATAGAATTTTAATCGATGAGACTTTTGGTCCAAATCAATCAATACACTTTATTCTTTATGATAGTCTAAATTTTTTAGCATTTCTGGAAAGTACAGCAATCGAAATAACGGCTTGCGCTCCGAATCTTCTAGAAGGTTGTTCATGGTAAATTTTAACTGAAAATTGAATTTTCATTAAAATGACATATTATTGACAGGTATAAGTTATTCGGCTGATTCATCGATCGCTTTCAAAGACGCTGACGTCGTGTTCTCAATTGGTCGTGCAAGAGGTTACGAATTTACAAAAAATGAACGTCGAGAATCTTTTTTTGAAGAATATATACACGTTGCTAAGATTCATGTAAGTGATATTAATTAAATCAAACAGGTGATATAAATTATTAAATAATTTTATACTATTCTATAGGGCGAAGCTATAGAACGATTTTCCAAAAAGGATGTGAAGATCATCACTTTGGGATACACAGCAGCCAGAATCATCTTACAATTTGCTAAGTCGATACCACCGGAAAATATAACGGCTTTGTCACTTCTTACACTAAAAATAACCGCGGCACTTGTAATTAAATTATTTGTTAATTTGAATCATAAATCAATTACACATTTTTTTCTGTTATAATTTAAAATTTCTTAGATCGCTGCCAAAGCTAATCGCCATCCGAGCGAAGTGATCAATCTTATAACCTGGGGCGTTAATGGGGAAAATTCTCTACCGGATTATAGATATGCGAAATTTCGTGATGGGAAATTTGTGGAGGAGGAAATTAAAAATGATGTTTGGTTGAAGAAAAATTTAATTAAAGTAAGTTATACGAACTTATTAGAATTGATCATTAAAAAGTCATTAATCAGGGTGTTCGGAGTGCCTCTGGTAGATCTTGGTACAGTAGATCATCCGCCTACGCATTGGCGGATCATTGCAAATTACTATGGAACGATACACCCAAAGGAGAATGGACATGCATGGCAATTTATTCAGACAACTCTTATGGTGTACCTACGGGAATATTTTTTTCATTCCCCGTATACTGTCAAAATCGAAAATACAAAATTGTTCAGGTACGTCAAACACATGTAAATATTACACCAACAAAATTATACAAATTTGGCACAACAGGGGTTGGACGTGAGTGAAAATCTAAAAAAGTATATGAAAGAAACTGCAAGAATTATCAACGAAGAAAGCAGCATAGCTTTGAACGCACATCGTTGACAAAAATGAAGAACAAGAATCGTTCATAGTAACAACGATTTTATTCGTATTACTAATATATTTACACCGTCATCTAAACTCGATTTATACGTTAACGATTAAATAGACATCAACATAAATAACATAAAATCGATTACTCATATCGTATCGTCAACTTTAATTATAACGATTATTTGTGCACACGTATCAACGTCCATAAAAGTTTCAAAGTCTATATGCATTTCTTTTGGAGAAATATTTTTGGCCAGTACTCAAAATCATTGTTTCACGTAAATCGAAAAGGAATGATCTGCAACAAGAACCATGCCACTTTACAATTGAACAACAGAAACAAAATTAATCAATACCTCAAAGTTTACATACTCTCCACTTTTTTATATAATATTCGTCCCAATATAATTTTTAAAAAAATTCTTTTCAGTACGCAATTTCACTCAAAGATCCAGGTACATTATTTGAGTAGCCGATAACGCGCCGCAGGCTGCCAACACACTGGCGACACATACGACTGCTGTAGTTGTTCCAGATAAACTCACAATGGTACCCAGGCAGCAGGATAATAAAAATTGCGCAAGGAATACCATCGATGACACAATAGCAACATCTGTACCTAATCCACGCACGCCGCCACTTTGTATCGCTTCGCCATCAGCAGTAACAGCAAACTGTGCGAAAGAAAAACAAGAAGAGGAATAAAATTGAAAATATTCGTATCGTTGCTCCGAATGGGAAATCATTTAATATTTTAATGACACGACTGACCGTAGATGAAGCATGATAATGCGCTATCAGTAAATATGGCATGGTAAATAATGTCGAGTACATAACACCTGCGGTCCAGGAGAATATGATAACGCCAGCTGGATGTTTAGTAAGCGCCATCATCATCATACCGGTGCTATAGAATAAGAGGCCGCATATATATACCTTGCGTGCTCTGAAAAAAAAAAAGTTTAATAATTTCATTAAAAACAATAGTATATTATCTTAATGATGAATCGCTGATGAGAATATTCAGTTGATGACAATGGCAATACTGACTTATAACGTTCTATTAGTTTTTCGATGATTAACGAATAACAGGAACACGAAAGCGAATACATTGACATTCCCCAGCATCCAAAACGAACCCCAGATTCGTACAATTCTCTCTCGTCACTTCCGTCAGGAGCCTAAATAATTGAAAGATAATATAAATGTAATGAATAAGTAATTTTTAAATAATTCTATAATAATATATAAGTATACCTTAGGATTTCCACCGTACACAGCTTCCCCAACGAAATCCGTGAAATACAAAGAATAACACACGTGTGCCATCCAACAAAATAAATTCGTCAAGCAGACCATACGCATGCTGTGAGGCATATAGAGTATAGAAAAAAGATATTCCTGTAAGGTAGCACGAGGATTGGCATCAGGATTTTCATCAAATCCATAATTAACGTAACTTCCTTCGCAGTCAGGTGGAGCTGGTACATCCGGTACCATTGGTACCGCACCAAGTCTTTTCACTGGTTCCTCAACGGGAAGAGGTTTCAGTACAAAATCCTTAAACAGATTGAAGATTACCAATAATAATATTAAATTGCACAACGTTTCATCAGGGTTCATTGAAACTAACATCCGTTTTGCCAATATTTGTTTCTGATTCATGTCCAAGTGCCCCATACGAGGTACACTCATCGTTAGCAATCTTTTCACGCTCGTCATCCTTGTCTTGCTCTTCTGCAATCTAAAAAACGAGAAATTTTTTTTTTTTTTTATATTCATAAGAAGCCAAAGTTCATCAGGCATGCATAGACCATAATTATACAAGCCCCGTGTTATTTACCTTTTGATTTTGTAGTTGTTGGTATTGATCTCTCTCGAGAACCTCGAGCGGAATTTCTTTGAAGCTCGTGATGGTCAAAGCCACGCAGATCACAAAAATTATAGTGATCAGAGTGAAGGTAGCATGAAGATGACCTCCAAGCATGACCCCAATGGTGGTGGCGTCCCAATTGATACCCCCAAGTCCATATCCCATGAAACCACCTAGTCCAGCCATTATGGTGAACGTGCTCAGACCCCTGGCATGGTCCTCTGGAATTTAATCATCAATGACAGTACCTGTTCATGTTTCGGAAATGACTCGACTGACAGAAGCCATTCGAATTCAATTATTATTCAGATAAGACGTACCTGGTACCGTGACGTCTAACAGATAAGCCCTAGCCGGGCTCTGACAAGCATCCGCATCAAAATCCAGTAAGACCGTTCCCAAAATAGTAAAAAATATACCCCATGAATGCGATGATACCGATGACGTCATTGGTGCATCATCCTTCGATGACGTTGCCGTTGTCCTGTGTCCATGAGGAACAGTAACATTGGTTACAGACGGTACATCTCCGAATGCGTAACCCATTCCTTCGCCGTTCGGTACCAAAATTAAACCTGTGAAAAAATAAAAATTTTAATTAAAAATTTTTTTTTCAAATCCTCATTTTGTAAATACCTACCGATCAGTACACCCACTGCCAGAAGCAAGATGAAGGGCCTTCTTCTGCCTTGTTTGAGTCGACAGCGATCACTGACGCTACCCAAAATTGGGGTAACGAAAAATCCCACCAGGGGACTTAAGGCCCATACTAGTGTCATGTGCTGATGATCTACGCCGATCTTAAGCAGGGTAGGAGAGACAAAGGCTGTCTCAGCGGCATATGAAAATTCGATTCCCATAACAGCAGCCGAAACACGTACTAATTCACCACGAGTCTTTTTTCTATGCAATATGCGAGGTGATGAAGAATTAAAAAAAATTTTTTTTTTTCGTTACTTAAAATCTTACCAAAATTCGACTACCTGTATATATGCGAATAATCGTCGAGAGTTCTTTCCAATTTTGGCGGTCCTCTAAGATGATTTAAAAAACCCTCGATACCCTGATCGGTAGGTATGTCGCGTTTCAATTCTTTCCAGGATTCCCACTTTTCTTTCAATTTATCACGAAATCCATGAACACGTCCGGTAAAGCCTTCGTACTCGTGAAGTTTGTCTACCATGGTGATGTCGAGTTTTGAACTGAAAAAATTATTTTATGTGAAATTTTTCAAAAATTTCAATTTCCACGGTATCGATTTTTTTTTTTTTTATATCTATATATCTGTATCGATACGTCAATCAATTATATTTATTTTCCTTCGAACACAAAAGCGCACTTATTTGACGTCTTATTAAAGCACTTTTCTTATGTATAAGCTTCGATGTAAATAATACGTCCAATAAGTCTTATACGATTGCCTAATCAGCCCGGGAAAATTGTATCCATTTTCTTCAAAAAAATGGCCATGACAAAAATAATAAATGGAAATGTAACAAATTTTTCTCAGAGATGCATTCACCACGGCTGGCGGTAACGTTCTGTCGTATTGTCAGGAATCGATCGATCTATCGATAATGGAACTAGTATATTTTGTAGGAGAGTACATTTTATACGGGGAGTATACATATACCGTGCACACCCTTCGTAACAGTAAAGTAGCACATGATTACATTGTTGTACAAAGACATAGATAATTTCGAAAAAAATGGCCATGACAAAAATAATAAATGGAAATGTAACAGATTTTTCTCAGAGATGCATTCGTCACGGCTGGCGGTAACCTTCTGTCGTATTGTCAGGAATCGATCGATCTATCGATAATGGAACTAGTATATTTTGTAGGAGAGTGCATTTTGTACGGGGAGTATACATATACCGTGCACACCCTTCGTAACAGTAAAGTAGCACACGATTACATTGTTGTAATAGACACAGATATTTTCGAAAAAAAAAAACACTCACGTAGTATAAGTTTACTGTATTCCAAAAAATTAATCTTGTCTCCTCGTACTAACTGTACGTTGTTCTGAAAAATCTTAATTTACGTTAAATAATATTTTTTTTCTACTTCCGGTTACTTTGCTTATCTTCTCGTTGATTTTCTTTAATATTCTTTCAATTCTTCACTCCCTCACTCCTGCCACGTAAAAATTCTCACGTTGGTTTATTTTTATCAATTATCTATGAATTTTTCCTTTTTTTTCCTCAATCTTGATTTTTAACTTATAGACTCCCTCCATTCACTTTCTACTACGTATCAATGTATATGTTACTGATAACGTGTAATCTCAGCACAGTGTCTTATCGGAATGGGAAATTCCTTATTAACCAAGAAGTTCTTACGTGCGCTTACCGTTAAGGGCAGCGCTCGACTACCCTCTAAAGCTTACCTACCCTCTAGCCAAGTAAGACCACGACTACCGCCCAAAGCTTTGCCACCCCGATCAGCAAGCCTGACGTCGCGACGCCGACGCTTTGCAAAGCTACATTGCTATTTTGTCCAGATGCAATATATATATATATATATATATATATATATATATATATCTTTTTACCCTGTAATTTGGTTACTATCCTAATTTCGCGTATTGTCATAAACAAGAATAAGGGTTGTTTATTGAAAAAAAAAATGATCAAGAGAAATGTCAATTTTTTAAATTACTTTAATCATTATTATTCACTGATTACATTGATAGCAGAATTTAGAGGGTCTTCTTTTTTTTTTAAATGAGGGTTGATTTTTCTGTGTTTTTATCGACACACCATAAGGATTGGGAATTTGTATTGATGCAACAAGTATGTACTTTCCACCTGTGTCTAGGGGTTGGTTTATCCCCAATTGACCCGTTTACCGCTAATGGATCCTCGTGTGTTTCACCTACGATGGATTCTGATTTTTCAACAGTGTGACTTTAGGGCAAAAATCATCCTGGTAACGTGCAATCTTCAAGTTCCCAATATTACCGTTAGGGCAAAATTTTCTGAAAAATTTTATACACTGTTATACATTTTCTTTGGTCGTGTTTTTCACTAAAACACTTTATAATCAACAGCTACCGACAATCATCGTTACTCACTTGCTTAATATTGGGAATCAGTCATTTGCAACGGAACGGTATATCCATCCTGCATTTTCCATCGGTAGCAAATTCAATTTCCGTCCTGGAAATTGCATCCAGCATCTCAAAAGAATCTAACCACTGCAATATCAATTTCATTAAATTACTAAAAACTAAAATTTTCAAATTTGAGTGTATGCTTAAAAAATGTAATATCAATTCAAAAAAATAAACATCTCAGCAATCCTTGTATCTTATTTTCCACCAATACGGTAATATTCATCGTCACGCGACTAAATGACATTTGTCAACAACTCTACACCTGCGTACTCGCCCCAAGTTAATTTTCAAGGATGAACCAAGCATCTGTTTAAAACGTCTCAAAAACAATTTACCTGATTGCGCAATAAATTAAACGTCCGCGACAAGATAAATTATTAAAAAAAAAAAGAAAAAAAAAGAAAAAACAGTGCGATATGACTAAAATTTATTTCTCGGCTCGGGGATATCGTGAAAGCGAAAAAAATCCACAGTCAATAATTATTTTCTCACCCAATCATTAATATTAACACTGTTCCACGTTATTAATAAAAAAAATTACTTTCTAGTAAATACTGTTTAAATCTTCCAGCTGGCAACTGTTAAAGGAAACCATACAAAGTAGGTCTTGTCTTGTTAGCCTTGGTGAAGGCTCCGTTGTTACGTAGGTTGACAGTACGAAATCGATGAACCGGATCAGGAACGATTTGAGTTCGTAATTGAGCGAATGAATTGAGTCGATAAATTGTTTATAATAATAATATAAATTTTTCATTAAATAGTTAATTATTCCTTCGGTATGACAATGGAGTTACCGAAAAATTTCTTGGTACAGCAAAAATCTCGATCCAGGATTTTCTCTGATGACTGTGGACTTTCTGCCTTCGGTCACCAAGTATTTTTTAATCAACGTCAGTCGGCTTGTCGTCAATTAATTAGGGAGGATTTAGATACCCCTTGGTACGAGGGAGCAACTTTTTCTTTTTTTTATACGACTCCAATACCGGGAATACACAACTGCAATAGACTTGATAAAGATTTTGCAGGTATATATCCTCATCCGAATCCGATTACGTTGTTTATTGGAAAAGACATTCCGAACGTCCCCTTTATTCGTTTCCATGAAGCGACGCGATAGATACACTGTCGCTGACCCGTTAATAATTCAAAAGAGTCAAATAAAATGATGCGATCTAAATGCCATCATTGGTATCTAATATCTGTTAGGGACTGTTAAATTTTTTTGGAAAAAAAGTAAGGGTGGTTTTTAGAAAAAAAAAATTTTTTTTAATTAGCAATAAGGGTAATACTCAAAAGCGTCAAATTTCCCTTCCTACAGGTTGACTCGTAACACGATGCTATCCTGACTCGGAGCTATTGGTATCTTGAGCCAGGGGTGGGCTCGAGGCTAAACCCCCGTTGCGTAATACCGAATCAGTTTACTTGTAATTTACTGACCCCGTTCCATTCCTCAATCGAAAATCTTTATAAATGCCTTTAGGAGCTAAGATATTGGCTGTATGAATTTTTTTGTTTTAAATTTATTCCTGCGGGATAAAAATAATTTTTGTGTAAATTAATTCTTTCTTTTTCTTTCTTCGCGACTGATGATCGTCTGGCATAACTTGGAGTCGATAATAAAATTGAATAAAAATGTTTATTGGTAAAATCGACAAGAAAATTTCTAGTAACCATAAGTCATAACGTTTTCGCGTGATATCAGCGTTTCAAGATTTTCGAAATATTTTTCAGAATTCGCAAGATTTTTTTTATCGAAATCAATCTTTATCAAAATGTTATATTTATAATGGATATCGATACGTACCAGACAGCAACCTATTTCACGTGCAAATTATCTTATCGCTGACGTAGGGCAGACTGTTTGCGCAATAGAACATATAGGGTACTCGTGCATATATATATATACAGGGTGTTCAGTACGAAACGCAGTGGAGTACTACCGTTGCATTCCTTATCAAATTCAAAGAAATACGTATTTTTGCATTTTTTATTTACGTATCAAAATTTCAAGACAATAATTGAAGCTGCAATAATCAATGGTACCACTCGAATGCGTTTCACATCGAACACTGTATATATCATATATGATATTTAAATAAAAATAATATTAAAACCTGCTAGAACTGTGTATTTCAATGTGATTGAATTATATAATATTGCTGGATCTTAAATGAAACTACTAATGATAATAAGCGTAAAAAAATGATTTGGTAGGGATTCGCATTTGTCAAGGGCAAAATGATATGCGCGATTGTCGCATAAAATTGTAAGTCAAATTGTTATAAGAAATAAAAAGGAGCCGGAAATACGATAGGAGATTGAAAATAGGATTGATCGAATTCACTGAGACAATGGTTCCCTACAATCCTTATCCGGGACTAGAATTGACAGTAAACGTAGATCCTACAAGCGTGGAAATTGTTCGGTAAACTTTATTTCTACGGGTTGGCAAGGTGGCGAGAGAAAGAGAAAAGGAAGGAAGGAAGGAAGGAAGGAAGGAGGACGAGTAAGAAAACCAATGGATTTTACGTTCTCATCGTGACTGTCAGTTTTATCGTTACGTATAGGACAATCGAATCCGTGAAACAAGATAATCGTACTTTTTAGTTGTCCAATAAGAAACCAATGAAGAGTAGAGAAAAATTTTTACCTAAAATTAATTTAAGGTTCGAGCAGGTCAATTCTTCGTTACGTCATCCATGTAGAATCCTCCGTCCGCCATCGATTTTTGTATGTGAATATCTTATCTAAAAATGTTATTAGTCAAAATTAATGAATTAATGAAATATATATATATGTATATATATATATATTAATACACTGAAAAATATAATTCAACTACATACTTATATGTAATATAAATACCCTAAGGGGAAAACACTTGTTGACTCATGAAAATATAAATAGCTTAAGGTAAAAAATAAATTTTCATCGATAAGCCTTATGGGTAAACATATTTAATTGACAAACTTTTATATCTGATTAAATCAAAGCCACATGTACGTTTATCACGTATGAGATTTTATTTGTTTCTGCAATCAGTATAGTAGCATTACAAATCATTGCTATTGATTGAATTCAATGATATTTTATAACGTTAATTTAATTTTTTATCACTTTTCCCTATCAATTCTAAATACGATTTTTTTAAATTTACATTTATTTCACTAATTTTTATTCATTACTTGTTCCACTAAGTCGTACCTTTTAAGGTAATAACGATATGCACAGTCCAGTACCAATTATTGAGTTTTCAATATTTGAAAATTTTTTTCTTTCTTTTATTTCTCTTGAAATTAATTTCAAACAATGTCATTCTAATGATCCATTAAACTGACCGGAAGTTGAACAGGAAAATTGGCTGAGTTCAAGCGTCAAACGAAACAGCTAAGCAATGCCAAACTAACAGTATCGACTTTGCGAAGTATATATATATACATATATATATATACATATTATTTTGAGGGTCATTACGACGTGCCACTTTAATTATAGTTCTTACCATTGCTCTAATTCTAATTAAGGATCAGTGCAGGGCCTCGCTGATCGCATTTCCTAGTCATTGTTCCATATTGTCGATCCGCATGAATATCGCATTGATCAAGATCACGTGGATTGTTTATACAATGTATATATAGAGGGTGTTCGTTATGAAACGCACTGTAGTAACAGCGTATTGTTCCATATTGTCGATCCGCATGAATATCGCATTGATCAAGATCACGTGGATTGTTTATACAATGTATATATAGAGGGTGTTCGTTATGAAACGCACTGTAGTAACACTGTTACATTCCTTTTCAAATTCTAATGAATATGTGAATTTTCATTTTTTATTTCATATATCAAAATTTCGAGATAATGAAGGTTGAAGTTGCAGTAATGCGACCAATCAAAACGCGTTTAAACGGAGCGTAGGTGACGTCGCGAGCCAGCCCGCAAGGCCTGCTTACACTAGGCCAATAACACTAAGAGTATCGTCGTTGTGTCCCTGTTTATTTGTATGTAATTGAGTAAGATACAAGACACGATACTCTTAGTGTTATTGGCCTAGTGTAAGCAGGCCTTGCGGGCTGGCTCGCGACGTCACCTACGCTCCGTTTAAACGCGTTTTGATTGGTCGCATTACTGCAACTTCAACCTTCATTATCTCGAAATTTTGATATATGAAATAAAAAATGAAAATTCACATATTCATTAGAATTTGAAAAGGAATGTAACAGTGTTACTACAGTGCGTTTCATAACGAACACCTTGTATATATATACATATATATCATTATATTTCATATAGATTTATTATCCCGTTTATTCGCACGTTGTCAAATAAATTTATGAATTGATATATACATATATCGGTTTGTAATAGGAATGTTTGTGAATTAATCGTGAATCATATAAGCATTCAAAGTGTTTAGATTGAATAATTGATCTCGAGCAAGAATCAGTGATGAAATATGAATTTTTAAAAATCGACTGATTTCAATGATTTTATTGATTCTTTATAAATTATTCACATCAATACGTGCCGTGACTTCTCATGATAATGAGACGTATCGATTGTTGTGTTAATTAATTGAAAAAAAAAGTGCAGTGTATTTTGGTAAATTTTATATTTCTCATTGTATAATACTCGAGTGTAATTCTTATCGATACTGAAGATCCTTATTGACGTGTTGTATTATTGAGTGATTGATTTTTTCAAAAAAAAAAAATTCAGCCTAATTACCACTTTTGGTTACCATCTGTCAACATTGTAGCACAGTCGAACGTGGTCATCGAAGATTTTAACGAAAATTTCACTGATGATTAACGTCATTTCCTTTTTTGTATTATTTTCACTAATATAACGTGCAGCTTGTTATTCGTCGATGGATAACGCGAAAGAGCAGTCTATCGGCGTGGAGTGTTCTACCGTAATGGTATAAAGGAAGATCAAAAGTGCCTCGCGTGATATTTGATCATGTGCCAAAAGTTTCGCCAATAGATTCGAGCATCTTCGATCGAAGATGAGATGAAGCAGGTAGGGGAACGCTGGGTAAATGTTTTGCGGTAGAATTCGTGAAATATGTAAAGTTGAAAGGAAAAGAGAAAAAGAAATGTGTTACGGTCGTTGATGATGAATAAATATTATATTGAAAAATATTAATTTTGCAAAATTTTTGTTAACAATTATTATCTGAAGAAAAGATGATAATGGACGGATAATAGTTTTTTAACTACGATTCTCGTATCTTGGAGCTTCTCAGCACGTGTTCAAGTAGCTGTCAATCATTATACGCAGAATTGACAATTGGCTTCTGAATCGCGAATCTTGATAACGCCCTTTGATTGCCATAAATTCAATCAGTGAAATCTGACTGAAGTTCCGTCGATCCTGATAAGCTCGTATCAATCATAGTTGTATCCGATAGCAAAGCTTCTGGGAATCTTATTGCGGTATTAATAATCCGATGATCAACAGATTCGATTAGCAATAATGCTCTGTGCCGAATATATGCGAGACTTGTGATTGAACATATAAAAAAAAATAAATGAATCACTTTCGTCCTGTACTAAAAATTATTATCAGATAAGTTGTAACAGTACGTACGGATGAAATGTTTTGATCCGCCTGATTAAAAATTTTTTCACTACTCATACAATTTTCGTGAAATATGAATTTAACGAAATTATTAAATTCTTATAAATATGCATCGCGAAATACTGGTTTGCTTTATCGCGTCTAATTGACTTATTTTTATCAACCTTTTAATTTTATCACCAAACTTTTTGACCGTTCTGTACCTTTGTTAAAATTCATCGCTACGTGACCAGTATGTAACCAACTGTGCTTGAGTCATCGTTCGTATCAATTTTCAATTTTGGTTTTCTTTCAATGACACTGCCAAAAGAAGATTTTCAATTGAATATAAGTGACAAACGAAATATGAGCAGCTGTCATTTATTGCCACGTGGATCGCTTAGCACGTGTATACATACTATGTACAATTGATATATTATTTATCGACACTCGTACGTCTCTCTGATAGTAGAAGTAGCGTATTCACCTTTTTAACTAGCTTTGGGGATTACGTGATTATCGGCGAAGTTTGTACAATAACTGAACAAGTTTTACCTTGGAATTGTACGCCGTCTCTGGAGGATTAAACGGTAGGAGTTGAATAACTGTACGAATTGGAAACATTTTGATGTTTCACTGGTAAAGGTAAGATCAAAGTAATCAAGACGGTTGCGTTATTCGCAATTTATCGCTTACGCATAAAAATTAATGTTCTGGAAAATTCCTTTTAATTCATCAAAAAATTCATTGTTCAAACACGCGTGGATACGTAATTTGGGAATATTAACGTCATCATTAAAATCCGTATACCGTCTGCGCCTGTGTTTCTACGCGCTGAGGTAATACTTGGCGGAATAAACAGGGGAAAGAAGTAACGTGGAGATCGATGAATTTTGCGAATAACATGGAAATTAAAGAAAATTTTAAGTGTCATCCTAAGTCGCAAGTCGCGATTCAATGTTGACTGTTTCTGGTTAGCAGCTATGTACACTGGTGTGGATAATTAATTTTTCATAAGTGTTTGCCTTATGATGTTTAGGCAGCATTCGACATTGTCATTTAAAATTTCTGTCGTATCTGTTGGGTAAAATTTTTAATTTTTTTTTTTTTTCAATAATTTCAAAAACGTCTCGTTACTTTGCATCGTGAACATTTTGTGCAATGGATTTTCATATTCGATCTTTTGGGAGCATTCTGAACAGAATTATGACACCCGTTATAGTCGATGCTTGTTGTAAAGTACAAAGACATTCTCTAATAATGAAAAAAAAAACACCTGTTTATATGATGCATTGTATTGCACAATTAAAATTCTAGGAATATAGGGAATTCGAAGTTGCATGCATTTTGCACATGCGATTGGACGAGATGCAGGTGCATCGTGAGTCATATTGAAATAATTGACATATTCATCGACATAATAAGAAATTATGTCGATTTAATGATTTTGAGGAAAAAAAATTGTTTCCAAGATTTCATTTGATTTTCGAAAATATGAGTTACCATTGTCTCATTTTCATATTTCGTCATTGAAATTGACGATTGTAATACAATTTTTTGAAAATGATTTATTTTATCGTTACAGAGTGACAGGGCGAGAAAAATCTCAGATTTTCAAAATTTTTTTTTATAACTTTACCGAAGGTCAATCAAGCGGATTTGATAGATGGAAAAAAGGTTTCTAATATCTTAAACTACAATTAACATTCAAATGCTCGGGATGGATTATTGAAGAGCAATATCAATCTGAAGTATCGCGACTTGCGACTGGCCCAAAGATAATTTGTAAATAGAAATCGTAACTTCTCTGCGCGATAAAACTCCGATCAGATACCGGGTGTTCGCCAATGAGCGAGGGGAGCAGCTGCGGGAAAAAACAAAACCGGGGGACACGGACAAGAAGCTGACACTATTTTACATGAGCGGCAACGGTCCTCCAGCAGGCGACGTTAGTGACTTCTTCGTCTTCTGAACAGAAGAAAAACTTCTTGCCGGTCGAAGACATTGGTGCCCCAAATAAACAGCCATGGGTATGAAAATTCGATAGTAAATTTTTTCAAAATAATATTTTTGTATTAACGTTATTTCGAAAAAATTATCATTTCGATAAACATTCCGTTTATTGTTTCAAATATATATATTTTTAAATTGCATAAGGCTAACTTTTTAAAATACAATTGGGATTGACGTTTCAAAAAAAAAAATTTTTTTTTACAGGTTTCGACTTTTTGGCAGAGGGTGCTGCCAATTTTGAGCATGCCATAACTGCCACGGGTGAGTGAAACGTGTGTAGTCGGAATATTGAAAAAGTGTGGAAAAAAATCTTTTTTTCTAATTTATTATCTCACAGTTAATTCGATTGATCCTTCATATTTCACAAATATGACATATTGATCGATAATAAAAATCTAAGGATTAAACATTAATCGCAATAAAGTCTAGAATTTACTGATATTTCGATAAACCTATCATTTTCGTACGGTGATCAATTTACATAATCAACAAGACTGTTATCGATCGTTTTCAATAATGATTGATCGTTTCCATCAATAAGTGATACTCTCCCGAAGCCATACATTTTCTACGTTATTCATACGATATACCGCAAAACAAATCACCGTCTAAACCGTGATACAATTTTTTTTAGTTTTATCTAAATTAATTTTTAACAGGTTTTGGAAAATTTCACTATATGCTATTGGCAGTTAGTGGATTGATTTATATGGATACAGCGATCGGTATCACTATACTTTCATTCGTGTTACCTGCAGCGCAATGCGACCTACAAATGGATTCCACGTCAAAAGGATACCTGACAGCATCACCAATGCTTGGTGAGTGAATTTTGAAAAAACAATTTTTTCTAAATCCAAAAAATTACTTAAAATAATACCTCACGTTGTACCAATATGCTTCATTGACCTTCATCACAATGGAGGTGCATCTACTATCGGATCTTAGGGTTGCTTAAGCAATGGCGGGTATTGATTGGCAACAGTCCAGAGCAAAGAAGCCATAATAATGAACTATTATGCGATTTAGCGGCTTCTTGATACGAAATATCCACTAATGCATAATAATTGACACTATGAACGGATCATAATTAAATGATATTAATAAACAAACAAATTTTTGTTATAGGTATGGTTATTGGCTCTTACATATGGGGATGTCTGGCTGATACCAAAGGAAGAAAAATTGTCCTTATCGCAACGTTATTGATGGATGGTATCGTTGGTATCGTATCATCATTTGTTCAATACTATTGGGTCTTTTTGGCTTTCCGCTTTTTTAACGGATTCGCGTGAGTTTTTTTTCACCATAAAAAATTAACACTAAAATTGATTTAAAAAATTATGAAAAAAAAAATATTTTTACAGCGTCACCGGAGCTATGGGCATTTGCTTCCCATACCTGGGCGAATTTCAACCCACGAAATATCGTGAGAAGATTCTCTGCTGGATGGAAATGTTCTGGACCATTGGTGTAATCGTATTGCCCTGTAAGTAAAAATAATTATTAATATCGATATAATAATCGATTATAAAATCATAATGAAAATTTTTCAGTGATCGCCTGGCTGATAATTCCAATTGACTTCACTTACGAATCTGACTCGTTTTACTTCAAATCCTGGAATCTCTTCGTGGCTTTGTGTTCATTACCATCATTGATGATTGGACTTTGGTTATTCAGTTTCCCGGAAAGTCCAAAATTCCTTATGGAATGTGGAGAGACGGAAGCTGCGTTCGAAGTGTTCAAATGGATTTATGCTCAGAATACCGGAAAGGATCCTGAAACTTATCCAGTAAGTATATGTAAAAATATTTTTAAAAAATAATAGCAAAACTTAGCATACCAAGGAAAATTGTTTATCTCAAAGGTTAAAGCATTGGTGGAAAAATCAAGTCCTAAGGAAAAGTCAACAATGGCATTAAAGCTCCATAAGCGCAAGGAGCTGAAGATACTCGTTTCCGAAGTCTGGAATTTAACCAAAGCTCTATGCAAGCCTCCATATCTTCGTAATACTTTACTAGCCTGTGGTATACAATTTGGACTGACTAGCAGCTACTACACACTGATGGTTTGGTTCCCAGAATTATTCACCAGGTAAACCACGTTGGATATCGATAGATATGAAAAAAAAATTATTTGTTGCATCGATAAACAATAAGGTAGTGATCAAACATAATAATTATAATATTTTGTAAATCAGGTTCGAGGAATTTGAAGAGACAAATCCGGGCCAGACCACATCGGTCTGTATCGTCTCATCCAGTCATATCAATGATACATCCCATCCGTTTGGATGTGACACCACAATTGCTACCTCGGTATATTTGCACACCGTGTATATTGGATTAGCCTGTATCCCAGGTTCCATTATTCTTCCTCTGTTTGTACATAAATTGGGAGCCAAATTTTTCCTGAGTGAGTATCGTAGAAATGGGGTTTGAAGTATACGATTAAAATAGGACTGACTGTTATTAATATATTAAATTTTACTTGCAGTTCTGTCGCTGTTGGTATCTGGTGGAGTGACCGTTGGTTTCTACTACGTAACAAATTCGACTCAGAACTTGATTCTCTCGTGCATCTTTGAAGCACTCACGTCACTAGGTATCTCATTGGTATACTGTGTGATCGTTGATATGTTCCCAACTAATTTAAGGTAAGAGAAAAACAGCTTAATGATGATTTTTTATTGTAATTTGAAGTTTATAATATTCCTATCGAAATTCATCCTTTCAGAGTAATGGCGGCGGCATTGTCCCTTACCATGGGTCGGTTAGGTGCATTGGTCGGTAACTTAGTTTTCGGTTACTTGATCGACCTGGCCTGCGTCGTCCCGATCATTTTGTTCGCTGCATTCCTCTTTGGTAAGTACATGATTTTTTAATGTTTTTCTGCATTTAACATTGTCCAATGATAGATACGCATGGTAACGTTTCTTTTCCTTCTTTGCAGTATGTGGTTTTATGTCCTTCTTCTTGCCGAAGACCGGAAAGGAAACTTTGGACTAATGATGTTCATTTTAGAAAATAAAAGTATATTAAGCCACTTTCATGTGCACAAGCAGGAACAAATGTGAAGCTATTGCAGCTCGACGATTCCTAAGATTAAGTGAAGACAGGACGGAATTGTTGGGAGTTGGGATTTTTCAATTTCTTATTGACTAATCCTGACAGCCTGTTTCAAAGTATTACGAGATAATTGCGATAAGGATTATCGATTTCTCTTATCGATTTTCATTTTCCGCCAATCAGCATATGTCTCGTTGTTTTATTATAGTATCATCGATCCCTCAGCATCTCTGTCTATCTTATACATGCATTCGTATAAGTACCTATTTATTCGCAATAGCGTTTATGTTTTATATGTATCAATATTAACTTCATTGCCTTCATAATCATTATATTTCATTTATATACCATAAATTTACCGCGCTTCGGATATATTTAATAGCTCGATAACAAAAGTAGTTTGTACATGATGAATAATGTATGCTGGTGTGACATGATAGTTGATACGGTACCATATTTATCAAAGAATAAAAAAAGTTTTTTTCAGTACCAAAAAACCTTGTAATTCTTTTATTTAAAGTAATACATATCAGTACGCTATGTATCTTTTGCGATAATAAAGAAAACATAGTACAAACGAAACAACTGATATTGTACTTGTTCAGTCTTTCCACCGTGTACCAACAGCTAATTGATACTCGCGCGAATTATCCATATTGCGAACTGAGAGTACGCGACATTAAAGCTGTCTCAGGAAAACAAGGTACTTGTACGAACTTAGCACGGACAAGAACCAAGTAGTAATACGAAACTCGTGCCATCTGACGATAGGATCTCGAATATCAATATATCATATACAATATAACACAGTGCATAGTAAAAGTGAGTAGGTAAATTGTTATGTAAATCCTCATGAAATTATTTATATTTTATATCAATCAATCCCAAAAATGAAATATCCTTGATAACCTTGATTATGAACTAACGTGCGTCGATTCACCTCGCCATGACAGCAATTAAGTTTCAAAGATTTTTACATGAGATTATATGAAATTTTAATCTTTCTTAATATGACGCAAGTCACTGCTACTTGATAAAAAGATGATTGGGATCATATTTTGAATACGATTTATCGCGTATGACAGTAAGTTCTTTCAAGCCACTTACTTACTTTTGTCATTGTAATATGCCGTGTTATTCGCTGTTCCGCCTCAGACAACTTTTTCTTAAATATTTTTAAGCAGCTTTTATTACGTATAAAATGGAGAAAAGCAGAGGGCTGGTATAGCATCATATTCTATACGTAGATCATGGACCTATGGAATAAAATAATGTAATACCAGAATCCTTGGAAACTTAATTATTCCTTACTGCATAATATTATAGAAAATAATTATCATAATATTAGTTATGTAAAATTTTTTATTTCGATTAGGTGAACCAATAAACGTATTAGTTGATTTTAAACATTAAAATTTCTTGAAATTCCATGATAATTTTGCTACTGTATTATGCCTAATTTGCCTACTGTCCAATCTTTCACTTGATGTCACAATTTTGATATTAGAAAACCGCTGTCAGATGAAATACCGAAAATTATTCATTCAGCCTGATAGATTATCGTTTGACAGAAAGTTGTTCACTGTATCCTAACATCTGCTATCTGTATAATAACGTATGCTGATAATGCAATCAGCACGTAAGTAGTGAAGACTTTATAGGACACCATAATTCTCATAGAATTAGAGACCTTTTGTATACCGATTATTCCATGATGTTCTGACCTGCTATACGGATGCACATATGGGTCATGCATGGTGCAAATGATTAATTAAAATTCATCACGAATGAATTTAGAAATAAAAAAATACGTTAATTGTTAAATCAGACGTCGGTCTTATATACTATATATTTGTTTGACTTCATTTATAAATTGAATGTCCTGCACATGAATTTGCAACTGACATATTTTACAATGATCCAGAAAACACATTTATTCGTTCCCAATATGATTTCTATATTGACAATATTTTCCATTATTTTCAAGGATAATCTTCTGAGACGCAATAAATTATTAGGTTTGTCTTTATAAATCACATTGCGCATTAGGCAGAAGTGTCTTTAATGATATAGTATGTATTTAATCATAGTCTCGTTACTTTATGTACACACAGTCGTTCAGAGCAAAATAAAGAGAGCAATCATACGCTAGTTATTTATCGATATTGTTATCGATACAATAATCCTCATTCTCGCTTATCTCACTTGTTTTACGTATTTCGTCGGTTCGCTTAATAATAGCTAATTGGTACCTTATTAACGTACCGATATTCATGGACTGTACAAAAGAATAACAGCACGACTTACCGAGTGCATCGATTCTAGTAAATATGACAACTAGCTTTATCAATATTCATTCTAATCACTGACATAAGTACTTTTAAAATGTCATGGAAAGCATAGTAAATTCGTCTAATATTTGTGCATTCAGCGAGTGACGTGCAAAACGGATACTTTTAGATTCTAAACAAAAAACAAATATTGTTATTGCACTTATGTAATAATTCTTACAAACAGCAACGTCTTAAACGTTATCTGGCGACGGCGCTACAGGACGGGGCGAGAGCGTCGTGACGCTCTGAGGGGCGTCGTCCGACGTCGGCGTTCCAAACATGAGGGGCGTAGCGTAATACGGTAACAATGGATATTGGGCTGGCGGAAAATACGTAGGTGGAAATAATCCTTGTCTCTGTGCAATCTTCAGTCTGGACGTTAATTGCTTCTTCCATTTAGTTCGTCGATTTTGGAACCACGTTTTTATCTGAACTTCTGTCAGATTCAAAGACTTCGACAGCTCCATGCGTTTGCTCACGCTGAGATATTTGTCGATCTGGAAATGAGAAGAAAAAAAAAAATAATTAAAATACCTTGAAATTGGACTCTTTTTCAAATTATAATATCTAACTAATATAATCTCACTTTGAATTCAGCTTCCAATCTCTCCAATTGCTTGGCGCTGTACGCCTGACGTGGTTTCCTATCTATTCCTGGCTTACGAGATCGTCTCCCACTGGGTTTTGGGGCTGAAATAATAATTTTGACATTTTAAAAAATTTATTAGCTTCACAGTCTATCGAGTTTCTTATACGTACGACAAACGTCAAAGTTTAATGTTTATACGCTATTAATGTTCTTCATTACTTTCGCATGTCACGTAATAGGAATTTCACGGAGGCTGGTACAAGCGAGAAGATTTATGACTGTGTTAATAAAAATTTAACATTATAATCATTACACTTGATGGCTCAACAAACGCGAACAGCTTGCGCTCAATTACCACTTTCTCAACCCTCCACGTCTTAAACAGCGTAACCGTTCAAACACGTCGAATTACCAAAGATCTAAAATATGTAAGATTATTTGAAGAACGTGTGACATCTTACTGTCAATATGGTCCAGAAGGTACCAAAGAGCTGGTCAAACAGTTTATACCGAAGAACGTTTCTGTTGTTTGGGTACGGTTATCATCGACGTGTGAAAAAGTACCATACATTTCCGTAAGCAGATTATTTTTTGGTAACAAAAAAAAAACCATCCAATTCTAAGACAATACCGCAGTATCTGGGTTAAAAAAAATCTCAAAATTTTTATCTCAAAATGGTCTTGTTTGAGTTGGTAAAAAAAAAAAATTACAAGTTTGTCAAACTAATTGGCGTGTGCTGGCAATGTGCAACCAATCCCCATTAAAGATCCGTAATGGCCGCCACTTCACGGGTTCCCAATAATACTCGCGAAGCCCGTCGTAAAGCTTTGCTGTTTGTTCGTCTAATACAGATTTCCAAAAAATCGCCTCTTCTTCACACAAGGACGCAGGCATTCTTCGTCCCTTACGACTGTTTGTACGTCAGTTAGAAGAGCAGTTCCTTGCGCCCAGGGGTTTAGCAAATAGATGTCGCATGTTTGACGAAGGATTTAGCCTTTTTTATAGGAGTTTTTTCGAAGCCCCCATAATATCCATTGAAGAATTCATGCTCGACCTCTCGGAAGCAGCGCTTAGAATTCTGAGGTCAACCAGCGCTTAAGTGAGCGAAGACATTATGGACGTTGAGGAAGTAGGAGGCGTATGAAAAAAAATAAATAAATAAATAAAAGAAAATAAGTTACGTAAATCTTTCTTATCGAACATTTTTATCTGCACGACGGAAGTCAATCAGAAAATATTAATTAGGGTCGCGTCACTTTAATTGGAGGTCAATATAAATTTGTAATTTAAATATAGGCAGCCGGTGAGATCTCATGATTTTCAATTATTATTTAACCACGTGTGTCTTTCTATTTGTCAAATACTTGCTGTAAAAAAATGACAGCTATACGTAACGACCGGGTGGGGATTGGGGGAGGGGGGGTGGGGGAGGAAGATGAAGAACG